CCATCTTCCTAGGGTTATTGGGAAGATTCAGATAATCTATACAAAACATTAAGTACAGTTCCTGGCACAAAATAAGCTTAAAAACAAGGATGGGCAGGAGAGAGAAAGTTCTAGAAGTGGGAGCAGCCACTGTAGTACCCTTATAAATGTGGGGATATATCTAAGCAGTTGGGACTTCTTACAAACACAAAAGACTACTGATAAATGTATTATTATTTGGTGTGCTTTCCATTTCCTAGTTTCCACCAAGAAATCAACAGAACAATAGTATTCAAGTTTATTTACCCATTTGTTGAAGGAAAATCCAATACTTAAGAGTTTTTCTGATGACATGCAAAATGTCCTTGTTGGAAGCTCACATATAGCCTAGTTTGGAGAAGAGAAGGGCCAGTTCAGGGTCTAATGTTGATATTTGGATTATCAACTGCTGATAGAAATTTTCCCAAGTCAACTGCAGTTAAAATTCTAGCTCCATAGTGTTACAGGAAACCTTTTCATGTCCTCTTTGCTGCCACTAAAGCTTAACTAGAGCTTTTAAGGGGAGGGTCATCTTCATACCTTAACTGTCAGAATCAAAGGATTTTGTTTTTATTGGTAGTTTGACCAGGTTGTAAGCTGATTCTTGAAGAAAGCCTCAAAAATAAGTTAGTCACTAAAAGCTAAAGTTAGGGTGCCTGGGTGGCTCCGTCGGTTAAGCATCTGTCTTCGGCTCAGGTAATGATCCCAGGCTCCTGGGATTGAGCCCCATATTGGCTCTTTGCTCAGCAGGGAGCCTGCTTCTCCCTCTCCCTCTGCCCCCGCTCATCTTTTTCTTTCTCTCTCAAATAAATAAAATCTTTAAAAAGCTAAAATTATGTGACTCCACTTATATGGGATACTAACAGTAGTTAAAATCATAGAAAATAGACTGGTAGTTGCTGGGGGAGGGGGAAAGGGAAAATGGAGAGTTAGTGTTCAGTGGTTATGGAGTTCTGCAAGATGGAAAGAATTTTGGAGGTGGATGGTCATGATGGTTGCCCAAAGTGTGAATGCATTTCACACCACTGAACTGTGCACTTGAAAATGGTTCAGATGGTAAATTTTAAGTTTCGTGCATTTTACTATAATAAAAAACTGGGGGAGAAGCCTGGGTGGCTCAGTGGGTTAAGCCTCTGCCTTCGGCTCAGGTCATGATCTCAGGGTCCTGGGATCCAGTCCCTCATCGGGCTCTCTGCTCAGCAGGGAGCCTGCTTCCTCCTCTCTCTATCTCTACCTTGCTCTCTGCCTACTTATGATCTCTGTCAAGTAAATAAATAAAATCCTTGAAAAAAAAAAAAGTGGGGGCAAATGAAAAACAAAAACATCTTAAAGCTAAAATATTAACTATTTTCCGACCAGAGGACTTTTAGGTTCCCACCAGAGAACTTTTAGGTAAACAGTCATCTTTCTCTTTTGAAAGGATCCCATAGAACATACAGGTTTTTCTAAGGGGAAAAAAAAGTGCCCCTTCCCCAGCATTTTATTTTGAAATATTGCAAACATACCAAGAAGCTGAAAACATAGTATAATGAACCTTCGTATACCCGTAATTATGTATTTTTTCTGATTCATTTGAAAGTAAGTTGCAAGCATCACACAGCTTACCCCAAAATACTGCCCTGTGTATCTTCTAAAACCAGGTATATTCTTTTAATATCATTAACCTATCTGAGAAACTTAGTACTGATTCAGTATTATATACAGTCCATTTTCCAATTTTCTTACTGTCTGAAAAATATAATGGTGAGAAGCACATGTGAGTTTTAATCCCAGTTCCAAGCACAGTTTGTATATTACGGTTGGTCGTGATGTTTCTTTTCTCTTTGGTTTTTTAGGTATTTTTGAATAGGCTACATTTTGATTAGTCTGATTATTTCTCAAGATTAGATTTAGGTCAAGCGTGTGTGATAAGAAAGCTGTCAAGGTGACACTGTGTACTTCCCTCGTGTCACCTTAGCGGACAAAATGTTCAGTTGTCCTCTCACCAGTAATGCTAATGTTTGTAGATGTAATGTGACGTTTCCCAGCTCTTCCTTTGTCTTATTAACAGGCGTCCAGGGCGGTGCTCGGGATCGGGTGGCTCTTCTGTTCTGCATCCAGCTTTCCCTCAGTTGCTCCAGCATGTGTGGGTGATTTTTGCCGGATTCAGTCGTGCTGTCCGGGGTTGCAGGGTAGTTTTTCTAATTGCCGTTCCTCTGCGTTTACTTCGTAGCTGGCTTCTGCAGGGGAGCAGAGAAGAGCTTCTCCGTTTCCCCCCTTCTTTTAGCAGCACTGTGGACGCCTGGATTCCTTTTAATACCCAGTGTGCTGTATCGTGTTGCTGTTATTTTTTTTAAGATTTTATTTATTTATTTGACAGAGAAAGACACAGTGAGAGATGGAACAGGGGGAGTGGGAGAGGCAGAGGCAGGCTTCGCACCGAGCAGGGGGAGCCCAATGCGGGGCTCAGTGCAGGGCTCCATCCCACCTGAGCTGAAGGCAGATGCCTGATGACTGAGCCACCCAAGCGCCCCTTATGTTTCTGCTACTATTCTTCTTTACTGGCCACTGGGATTCGGTGCCCTTTGGAAATAGCCCATCAGGGTTTGAGCACTTCTCTGCTTTCTGGCGCAAGATATTCTGAGCTCACCTTGTACTTTCCTTGCTTCAAACCTGGAATCAGTTGTTTTCCCAAGAAGCCTTGGTTCTTTGTAGTGGAGAATAGTATTTAGAAACCAAGATCTGGGTGCTGGGTATACTTAGAAAATAAACTTTTTTATTTATTTATTTTTAAGATTTTTATTTATTTATTTGAGAGAAAGAGAGCATGAGAGCATGAATGGAGGGAGGGGCAGTGGGAGAGGGAGAGGGAAAAGCAGACTCCCCAGCTGAGCACGGAGCCCCGTGTGGGGCTGGGTCCCAAAACCCCAAGATCATGACCTGAACCGAAGTCAGATGCCTAACCGACTGAGCCATGCAGGCACCCCAGAAAATAAACTTTTTAAAACATGGCCTGTCACTTTGATAGTGTATATTACAATTAAGAAGACTTTCACATGCATTTTTTTTTTTTTAGATTTTATTTATTTATTTGACAGAGATCACAAGTAGGCAGAGAGGCAGGCAGGCAGGGGGGAAGCAGGCTTCCTGCTGAACAGAGAGTCCGATGCGGGGCTTGATCCCGGGACCTTGGGAGCATCACCTGAGCCGACAGCAGATGCTTTAACCCACTGAGCCACCCAGGCGCCCTCACATGCATTTTTAAATGGTTCATCATTTGGTTTTTCCTTCAGTCTTGTGTGTGGGGCAGGTCAGATACTAAAATGTCCATTTTAAAGATGACAAAAATTAAGTGTAGAGAGGATTTAACTTTCCCAGAATTATAAGACTAGTAAGAGCAGGTGCTAGGAGCAAAACTTTTAATTAATTAATTAATTTATTTTTGCCACAGTGCATTGTCTCCCAGAAGGTGTGTTTCAATAGCTAATAAAGCTGTGTGGCTGGCTTCTCTTCAGAGCCAGCTCTACGAAAGAGAGAAAGCTTCCTCTGTGAGACTAAGTGATAAATGATGAGCCTTGGGAATATTTGCATCCTTCTCAGTTAGCGTCGCCATTGGGAGTCTTTTCGTAATAGAGTTTGCTAGGAGGCTTTCAGTGGTCCTTTTGTAATGAAAAGAATATTTGACTTATGACGCAGGGAGAACTCTGTTTGAAAACAGTACATGTGGGACGCCTGGGTGGCTCAGTTGGTTGGACGACTGCTTTCGGCTCGGGTCATGTCCCGGAGTCCCGGGATCGAGTCCCGCATCGGGCTCCCAGCTCCACGGGGAGTCTGCTTCTCCCTCTGACCTTCTCCTCGCTCATGCTCTCTCTCACTGCCTCTCTCTCAAATAAATAAATAAAATAAAATAAAATAAAAAGAAAAGAAAACAGTACATGGCCATACCCAATCCCTCTGTCCAGGACAGTCTATAATTGGGTCACTCCAAGGAAGCAGGAAACCCAGGCAGTGTATATTAAACTACTGTGCTTATGCTGTCATTTGGTATTTTATTATGGGAAGGTCTCTTTTCTTAACCTTTACTTGATTTATTCTCAAATAATGCAAGCTTTTTAAAATTACCGCTCCAAGGAACCTTTTTAGATATTTTTTCCTTAATCTTTCCCCACCATGAAATTTTAATACCTCAGATGTGTAGTACATCTCTTTATATACTGTATATATATATATACATATATATATATTTGTGCTTTATGCATAAAAAGAGTAAGATTTTTGTATCCTTCAAGAACCATATTTTTACCCTCTTCAAGGTGATACCACCCCCACTGAGAATGCGTCAAGTGAGTAGATGGAGAATTGAAGGGTACATCTGATTTGTATTACAATAATACATTTTGTATTATAATAGTATATTTTAAAATATCTTTCTTGAATAGCTAAATACAGTCTATACATTATTTTGGCCCGAATAGCACCGTGATCTTTTGGTTACCTGAAGGCTGTATCCTGCATCCTACAACTTCCAAAATAGCAGTGTTCCATCCGCAGAGTTCAGAGTCTGTGGTTCGCATCCAAACAGCTAATCAGAACTATTGGCGATACTGGTCAATTTTCCAGTATTGTTTTTTTCTGGAATTCCTTGATGTGTGAAGGTTCTACGTAAATACTACTAGGAAATAAATTTAAGGGATTCACGTGTTTTCCTGCTCAAAGTACCCCCTGGCTGGACCTCAACCCCAAATAAAGACCTCTTAGGTCCGAGGGCGTACAAAGAGATGGCATTTCGCTTTCTTCAGCATTTACCCCTTACAGCAGCCTATCTTGTGTACTTTGTGGGGTTTTTCTAAGTATTTCTCTGTATGTCTTTTTATTGTTTCCTGCCTCTGTCTTCCCTTTTTTATCTTTTGCTTTCTCTGCTTTCCCCAGCTCTGCTGTCATTCCTCCTCCCCTCTGTCCACTTCCTCCCTCTCCTACATGTCCTCTCCTCTCTTTTCATCCAGGACTATGAGAGTAAGTTGCAGGCCTTGCAGAAGCAGGTTGAGACCCGCTCCCTCGCTGCAGAGACAACAGAAGAGGAGGAAGAAGAGGAAGAAGGTGAACTCCAGAGATGAAAATTTCCCTCTGTAGCTTTTGGATCTGTGCCGTCAGATTAGCCTTTCATCTGTGATCAAAGCTGGATTTGATCATAGTTAACCCTACCACTTACTGATGTTTTACCGAGCCAGGTTAAAGGGGATTCAGAAGATCCTCAATGCTGAGAACACAGACTGCGCTCTCTGAGGTGGGAGAAGGGCTGACTGTGTTCTGTCGAACACAAGGTTTCTTAGTTCGGTCCTTATAGGAGTCTCTTAGGCAGTTTACATATATTGTCTCAAATTACTGTACATGTGAAGCTCGTGTATGTTACAGATAAATATAGGGCCTTATCTTTGGTAAGATATTCTTTTATTTGCTGACATATGATTTACGCCCAGGATTACCCAGAGAGGACTTTGAACTATATTAATATATATTAAAGCCACTTCTGGCAAATTTCTAATCCTATTGCTTAGTCATGCCTACCTGCTGTAAATTTTTCAGAATCTCTTAGCTGAATCGGGGCATTAATTGCTTGTCACTTCCATATGGTGCAGTATGAATTCTCCTCCCAGTTTGTTTCTCCACCCAACCTCCCAGTAATCTCAAGGCTTCAGATTAACTTCGGAGAAACTCTAATTTATGTACTAAATTCTTTACTTTTTAATAGTGAAGTAAAATATGACCTTTTTATTTCTTGTACTAGCAAGAAAAATACATAGCATGTGAAGTTGTATAGTATGTCATAGGGCTCTTCTTCATTATAAGTCACGTATTAGATGTATACTTTTTTTAAAAGGAAGAGAAGTCTATATCTTTCATGTACTGTTTTAAATAGAATTTTTTTTTTAGGTTTTCTAAAATGTATATACTGCCTTCATAATATCAACAGAATTTCGTAAGCTTTGCTGAAAAGCAGAAAACAAAAGCAGCTGAATGGAGAACTATGGGCACATAACTTGATAAGAGAGATGAGGTAGAGGAGATGTGTAATTTCTCTGTAGTGACGAGATCACCATTTGTTACGCTTCATTTGCTCTTTTCAGCTGCTTGGACACAGCATGAATTTGAGCTGGCCCAGTGGGCCTTCCGGAAGTGGAAGTCTCACCAGTTTACTTCATTAAGGGACTTACTCTGGGGCAATGCTGTTTACCTGAAGGAGGCCAACGCCATCAGTGTGGAACTGAAGAAGAAGGTATGGAGGGCGGGAGCCCGTGGGTCATCTGGAGGTACACATGTCCCTCAGGGGGTTGTGGCTCTCATCTTGAACTAGCCTTTCCCCTGGGTGAACTCAGCTGCTGTTGGCTGTGAAACAGGGTTATATATGCCTTTATTCACCGTATGTGCCTGGAACATAGTAGGTACTCATTAAATATTACGCGACTTTTTTTTTTTTTTTAAAGATTTCATCTATTTATTTGTCAGAGAGAGAGAGAGCCCAAGCAGGGGGAGCAGCAAAGGGAGAGGGAGAAGCAGGTTACCTGTGAGCAGGGAGCCTGTTACAGGACTCAATCCCAGGACCCTGGAATCATGACCCAAGCCAAAGGCAGACACTTAACTGACTGAGCCACCCAGGTGTCCCAATTACATGACATTTTTATTTATTTATTTATTTTTAAATATTTTATTTATTTATTTGACAGAGAGAGATCACAAGCAGGCAGAGAGGCAGGCAGAGAGAGAGAGAGGAGGAAGCAGGCTCCCCACTGAGCAGAGAGCCCAATGCGGGGCTTGATCCCAGGACAATGAGATCATGACCTGAGCCGAAGGCAGCAGCTTAACCCACTGAGCCACCCAGGCGCCCCTACATGACATTTTTAAAACAACTTGTTTTCCATCTTATTTACAAATGAGGAGATTGTATTCCAACAAGAGCTAGCAAAACTTTTTTTTTTTTTAAGATTTTATTTATTTGAGAGACAGAGTGAGTGAGAGAGAGAACACACGAGCAGAGACAGAGGCAGAAGGAGAGGGAAAAGCAGGCTCCCCTGCTGAGCCTGATGTGGGGCTCGATCCCAGTACTCTGGGATCATGACCTGAGCCGAAGGCAGATGCCCAACCAACTGAACCACCCCAGTTCCCCAAGAGCTAGAGGAACATATTAATAGGAGAATGCTATTCTTGGGTTTCTAAAAATCTCAATTTTCTTTGAGTTTTCAACCATAACATTTGCACCTATAAGTCCTAAGTGCCCTTCCTGGTCTAGGCCAGTGTACACAGGGGACAGGTCCTCTGCACTCAAACAGCCAGGCTCCAGTTCCAGTTTTTGTATTGACCCCAACGGCCCTGTGCCTCCATTCCCTCATTCCCTCAAGAGGAACTTTGCAGCGGCCCCTGCCACCTAGGTTTCTGTGAGGCCTGAAAGAAGGAGTAGATGTAAAGAGTTGAAATAGCTCTTAGACTTGAAAAGGCAATAAATGTTACTGCTTTTCCTTATTACCAGAACGTCACACCACATCTTAAATTTGCTTCTTCTCCCTGTCCCACTGTTGAATGGAGGCTACTAGGATGACAGTGGAGTCAGTGGGCAGTATCACGTGGCAGGAAAGAGCACAGAGGGCTCAGCCTTGGGAGATTCATTCTCTTCCCCTAGGGCTGTATTCTAGTGCTGTACAACAGGGGAGGATATCTTCTTCATTCAGTCTCACCAGCCCATTTCATTTTGTAAGTATATACCCCTCTCTCCAAGCAGACGAAGTACAGGCAGGAGACTCTGTCTTTCCTTCTTGCTGGTGTATCTGGCATTTACAAGATACTCGTAGGTGAAAATACAGGGCGGTAGCAAGACATAAATGACATGGCGCATGCAAAGCACTTTCCACGTAGTAAGCACTTCTAAGAGTAGCACCTGTGCTTCTTGAGTTTAGGATGGAAAACCAGCTGTGACATTGCTCTAGCCACCCCCACCCCCTGCCCACGACTCAGTGAGAAGCTAGAGATGTCCTTGTGGGTCCAGCTTTTGTTCTCTTATGTGAGTTCCATCAACCAAAATATAGGGACTGAGATTTTAGTTTGTGTAAAAACACTGTGCTGGGCTAGGAGAGCAAAGTCTGTAAAAAGCTTAATTTGAAATTAGGATGGTTTTCTACAGCTGATACACACGTGGCCATTTTTCCCCAGTTAATCATAGGCTGTTCACTGAGCACATACTACACGTTTGACCTCTTTCCTGTGGAGTAGGATTCTATTGCCTCATTTCCGAGGCTGACTTGCTGAAAACATAAAGGCCATTGGGATGGTTTCTTCTTTCCACATAGGTGCAGTTCCAGTTTGTCCTGCTGACAGACACATTGTACTCCCCTTTGCCTCCGGAATTACTTCCCACTGAGATGGAGAAAACTCATGAAGACAGGCCTTTCCCTCGTACTGTGGTGGCCGTAGAGGTCCAGGATCTGAAGAATGGAGCAACGCATTATTGGTCTTTGGAGAAACTCAAGTATGAAAAATTCCTCATAAAATCAGTTGTTTTATTTAGGAAATAATAATAAATTGCTTGGGTGGGCTCCCTCAGACTCTCCGCTGTGTGATGGCACTATTGCTTCCTTTTCTGTGGTGCTGAATGCTGTTGCTCTGCAGGGCTGCCACCGTCCATCCATCTTCTGCTAAATCAATGAATCCCGCTCTGTTGTCGCTTGTAGATCGGATTTAGATCTGCCCCCTGTAGACCCTCTTACATTTTAAATGTTTCAATCTCATGATACCTAGTTCTGCCTTGGGTCTGGTAATCATTTATCTTTTCTGTTCTGGATCTGGTGATCGGTAATAAACAGGAAAGTTACAATATGGTTTCCTTTGCCTTTAGCATGGTGAGATATTTTCCACTGTACATTATATTTGAGATGTCATATACCACTGAACTACATTTCTCTTAAGATTCAGTAGCGGTTAGGTGGCTTGTCTCTAGACTCAGACACTGTGAATACTGAGCGTTGTGAGTTTCTCTACTTTGGGCCTTCATTCTTTTCTAATATCATTAAATGATGGGAACAGCTTTTTTTTTTTTTTCATCTTGCATGGAAGATACTTCCAGAGTGAAATTTTGATGCAATCTCATGATATTAAGCAGAGCACTTTGTGTTTATGCAGGCAGAGGCTGGATTTGATGCGCGAGATGTATGACAGGGCAGGTGAGGTGGCCTCCGGCACCCAGGACGAAAGCGAAGCCACCGTGACCGGCAGTGATCCCTTTTATGATCGGTTCCATTGGTTCAAACTGGTCGGAAGGTACGTGATGATTTCATCAGTGTCTTCTTTTTAAATAGTGAGTGATTTGTTTAGAACCTCAGCAGCTATTACAGAAAGTTAAAAGAAAAAGTGTGCACAAATGCTCCACGTATAATCTTACCCATTCAGACCCAGCCACCGGGTCATGCGGTAAACTTGCCTACGCTTTCTTCAGTGTGCGTCCTTCAGGCTCGTCTTTGATCCAGAGTAATTGACAGCCTTCCCTGCCTCTTACAGTTGAAGAGCAGAGATTTGCAAGAAAAAGAAAACCTGTATCTGTATCCTGCACAGTTTAAAATCAGTATGACTTACAGCTTACCAGCTGGCAACTAACTTCTTGATCCGACGTGTCCTCTTTTTTTTTTTTTTTTTTTTTTTTTTTTTAAGGCAGTTTATCTCATGTTAGTCTTTGCCGTGGGTGAGTCAACTGCAGATCTTGGTCATCTGCCTGAGCCTCTTCTGTGCATACATACATTTCAACGTGTAATGAAAACAAGTAGTGCCCTGTGAATCCATACGGAGTCCAAGTTCTTAGAGGTTTAGAATTTAAAAAGCAGAAATGTAATGTAATATGTTCTGAGCAATGATTTCGGAAATTGAATTGTTTTTCAACTACAAAAATTTTCTGACAGTTTTACAGGAACTAGGCCAAAAGAAGGAGCTGAAGTCCTAGTATTTTGTAGAAATGAAGTTAAATCTGTTCCATTCCACTCTGTTAGTAGAGTGTTTCTGAAGCGTTGAATTGGCCAAACACGGCTTATCCAAGCAAGGCCCGTACTTGCTTTGCCATACACCACTCCATCCATTTTGTTTTCTGCTCCGAGATGACGTGGGAGTTGTAATAAAGATCTGTACTTTTTTTATTTGACCAAATGTTGAGTGGCTCCTTTGAGGCTTGGCTGCTGATCTTTTGTGTGAACTGGAAAATACAAGCATTTTCGCAGCACACATTTTACCTGGGATCTTCCACTCATGTATTTCCTTTGCTTTTCTTATTCTAAGGACCAGGCCTTGTTCCCTTTCACCTGAACCAGATGATTTATGCTCATTTTATCCTTTTGCTTTTCCACTTGCTTTTATTGTGTTGATTCCCCAGTGGGTTCTGTCCTGTTGACATCTATAGCTTCCTGTTTAACCAACTGTTCCTCTCTCCTTCCTTGGCTGTGTCCCCTGGCGTCTTCCCTGGTGTCTAGCTCCCCCATTTTCCACGGCTGTGTGAATGAGCGCCTTGCTGACCGCACACCCTCCCCCACTTTTTCCACGGCCGATTCCGACATCACTGAGCTGGCTGACGAGCAGCAAGATGAAATGGAGGATTTTGATGATGAGGCATTCGTGGATGACACCGGCTCTGACGCAGGGACGGAGGAGGGATCAGATCTCTTCAGTGACGGGCATGACCCGTTTTACGACCGATCCCCATGGTTCATTTTAGTGGGAAGGTTGGTGAGGTTATTGTGAGAAGGGCAAAAAGGGACCAGCTCTTGCTTTAAAGAGGCTCCTTGTGCAATTCGGGATGATGTTCCTTAGCAGATTCCATTTGTGACATGCCGATCTGGCGGGGAGAGCCCTCAGGCCGTGTCTATGGGGTAGTCAGTATTTGCTCGGTACAGCCTACGGCAGTGTGTAAAGGCTCTCCGTGGAGGACCCCTTGTCTTAAACTCCCCAGTAATTTCCCTCTAAAGGGGAAAACCACAGAGGAGAAAGTAATTAGAGCTGAATCTAGTGTTACAAGGTCAAAGAATGTTCCTATGTTGTGATGCTTCCTTTTTGTAGGAATGTGAGTGAAGAAGCAGAGGGGGATGACATGAGAAGGAGAGCAGAGCAAGGCCAAGGTTGAAACAAAGGATGTATAACACTGTCAGGAATCAAGAGGATAAAAGTAGAATCAGGAGTAGTGTTGGGTCACTTAAAAATAAAATCTAAATAAATAAATAAATAGGTAGGGGGTGCCTGGCTGGCTCAGTCAGTAGAGTGTGCAACTCTTGATCTCAGGGTTGTGAGTTTGAGCCCCAAGTTGGATGTAGAGATTACTTAAAAATCTTAAAAAGTAAATAAATAGGAGTGTGTTGGGTTTATTTTTTACCTACTTTGAGTCAGAAAAAGAATCAGGAACATGAAGTTTCCTTTTGTCTGAAATGAATGCCTTTCTTTAGCCAGTTTCAGTGAACCTATCTGTAGATCTTTGGCTTCTGCCAAAATTTTACCTATAGGTTTTATAATGATGAAGCTCATGAAATTATCTGTTGACACCACCAACAATGGATATTTGTTCAGCACTGCATGAAACTGGTCTGTGTTAAGTTGAGTTTTCCAAACTGAGGCCTTGTCTCAGATTCCATCTGTCAGTGACGCAGAGCTCTCCTCGTATGCCCCTCATACTGAGGTCTTTGTCTACACCCAGTCTTCGTGCTGAGGTAATTTTATTACAAATTCAGCAGTGCAGCACTCGCTGGATTCACAAAAAGTGTGTGCAGGTTTTAAGGTATGAAATTGAATCTTAACAGTTCATTAGGGCCACATGTTGCTGAATGCTTTAAAAATAGGGAATTACGCCAGTTCTCCAAAAATTAAAGCGCAGCACATGTCCTGAGCCAGTAGGGAGGTAAGTCTCACACTGAGCTTATGGTGTGATGTTGGTCGCCTGGCAAGGACTAAATATAACTACTGGGGTGTACGGTCACTGAGCCGGACAGGGGGCAAGACAAGCTTGCTGGTAGACACAAAAGCCTCAACTGTGACCAGGGTTTGTAATGTAATACTAGACAGTCTTGGGAGTTTATGATAGCGGAGCGGCATCTATTCAGGTTTTCCGTGCATAAGCATTAACGGATTGTGCAGCCGTGAATGTTGTTTTCTGCTGGTGTATTGCCAGAAATAGATGCCTAGAATTTCAGAGAAGCTGATTTATATTAAAACTGAGAGCAGTGGTTCTGTGTACCAATAATGGGACGATAGAGCTTTTTCTTATATTATGGCTTTGTGTGTTCTAAAAGGGTTGGGAGTTAGAACTGAGTTTCTGTCCCTAAACTGCTTGTCCTGGTGCCAGCTGCGCAGCTGCTCGTTGTGCACCGTCACACAGGGAGGAACGTGGAGCTTCATCTCATGCGGCACATCGCTAAGAACCCTGACCCTAGGAGATGTTTGAGGCCGCACGTTGGCTTCACTGAAACCGAGGCTGTTGGGTTCTCAAGTACAAGTGAGGAGTTAGGTAGGAAAACGGAGAGCCTTAAAGATCTTTATCTTTTCGATTCTGTCATCCGCACTAGCCAAGTGACTATCCTGGTGAAGAGTTTTCCGAAGCCTTTGTATTTGGAGTCGCTTGTGTGGAGAACTTGGGTCAGAATCCCACTTAATATGGACATTCACTGGCTTAAAATGTATGCATTATTTTCTCTACTGTTTTAATCATATCAGATTTAAGTATAGGTATAAAGCAATCAGCTCTGCTTTGATTTTCAAGTAATTTCCATATGTTTGGCTTCCCAGGTTCTACAGCTAACTTTAACTTGTGAGGAGGATGTTAGTGGAGGGGGTGAAATTGTGGCCATCAGTCAAGTGGGGGATAGCTCTTTACTTTTCACCCTTGACTTCATTTCTCATCTACAATCAAAACTGATAACTATGCAACTTCACCCAGATATGTAGTGGTCATTGTACGTATGAGAAGTAACTTCTTTCCTGTTTTTGTGATTCACAGGATAGGACTTCCCATATTGGCGCATAATTGCAAATACAATTCGCTTGTAAAATTTTCCACTTTCTTGTGAAATTCCATTTGTAGGTTTTGTTTCTTGGCCTTGGCTGCCTCTGGCAAATTTTTGTATGAAAATGAAAAGAGCTTGTCCCTTTAGCTATTCTTTTATGGCATGCTGGGATGTTATGAACCATCCATCATAATTTGGGATGAAATGTAAAATAGTTAAGCTGGGTTAAAAGGGGGCAAAAGATGGTTATTCTGACACCTAAGTCTGAACTGACATTGTGTTCTGTAACTAGAACCATAATTACACTGATTTGTCTTTCTGTTGACCAAATTAGTTTCCCTTTTTGATGTAACTTCACAGAACTTATGCTAATATACCCTTTACATCTTCCCCTCTCTCATTTCTGTTCTCCTTCAGTCTGCTAGGTCAAAGTATAAGGACTCTCAAGAATGCAGAGTATTTATAAAAATTCCAGCTTAAAAAACTTCAGAGGAGAACTTCTACGGCATTGACCTTGGGCAAAGGACAGTCTTCCGATAATAATACAGGGAGAGCTGGCAAGTGACCATGCGGTTGTGTAGCCCCTGTGCCAGTGCCCCTGCCACTGCCGGAGAATCACAGAAGTCTCTTTTCTAAAACGGGAAATACAAAAGAATACTTTCTGTCCTTTCACCTTTGGAATAACCATTGCCATAGGTGGAAAGGGGATTTTTGCCTAAGTGTGTGGTCAGACAGTACTTTGTTGTAATGCATGTGTGAACACGATATGCAGTGCCTTCAATGGGAAGCTTTTTGAAAATTAGAAACAGGCATTCCTGGCATAAGTATAAAAACAACTATACAAATTAAGTAGAGTTAGGAACCTAAACATGTTCTCTATAGTTAATATCTATCTTGAGTATATCTTTGAAAAATCAACCTCTGGTGTGACCCATTTTTCTGGAAAATGGTCCACTTCTGATTAAAGATAGAGGACAAGTCATGTACATAGACGCTCAATCATGTTGATTGGATGTTGAGTGTACTTAATAAATATGCCAGACCCTCTGTAGACAGCGGTAAACAAAATCAAACGTGAATCCTGCTCTCTCAGGTTTGCAGACTGGTGGTTGAGACAGACAAACAGTCATATAGATATAAATCATAGCAATGATGGAGTCATGTGTGTTACTGAGATCACTTAGCGCTGGGGGAGCCTGTCATGAGAGTATGTTCAGAGTAAGACCTGACCTGCAGTTGTGAAATCAAAGGCATGAGGTGGGCAGTAGAGTTCAGGGTGGGCTCCACGCCGGGGACAGGTACGTGCGGTGACTCTGCCCCACCGAGGCACTGAGAGCGAGCAAGTGGGCTGGAATCATGAAGAGCTGAAGGTGGTCTGTATGGTGCTGACTGGGAAAGGGAAGCCGTCCATTTGGTACCGTAGGCCAAATTCTTCGTCTTTAACTTCTGTCACAGTAGCTAATACTTGAGATTCTTATTTTAATCCTTTTTAGAAGACTTTCCATTTTTAAATTTTTATACAACATAGCTTTAACCCTCTCTTAGTATTTCCTTCCCCACCTTTGGAGCAGACTGAAAGGGAAGTAGACTTCATTTGATCTGATTCAGTGTTTTACTTACAGTTGTTTTTGTTACAGTTTTCATTCACATTTCATTTATGCTCTTTAAGTTTTATTAACATGTCTTTTTCTGTGGTGTACTTTGTCTATTTTCAGTATTTTTTTTCACTACTTTGAGTTGAAATCCCACAAATCCACTCCATCTCCCATTTCTCTTTGTTCTAATGCAGACTCAGAGCAGGAGAAGAAGCAGACAGGCATACGTGTCACGTTCGGTTATGTTTGATTTCTTGGTGCAAATGTTTACTCTCTGTCTTGCTTTGTGTTCAAAGATCATATACCCTGTGGGAAGACAAGAGTAACAGTAGGAACTAGATTCTGTATCACATCCACTAATTGAAATGAACTTGTAATCACATTTTTATTGTTAAAAAAAATCAATAGATACAAAATAATGAAGTAAAAAGAGTACAAATGCGATGGGACTCTGCTAGTTTGTTTGAAAAAGACGATTTTAAGTCTATAACCTTCCTTTCGTGTTTCCATTTCTGAGTTAAGTTTTGGACTCCAGGAACAAAAGCAATCCTTTACGGATGAGCTCTCTTTTTCTCCCTGGATATTCGTCTGTGTCCAGCCAGAGTCTCCTCTAAGCTTGCTCCTCAGAAACTTCTGGCTACAAACCCTCTTTGCTCATATGTGTCAGTCACCTGCCTGAAAATAATAGTCATTTCCTAGAGCATTTCCATAATGCTGTGACTTGAAATCTATTTTAGAGTTATTAACTGTATTTCAGTCCCATTTCCTTCCTTTTTTGTCTCCCAATTTCTGGTTTATCTCTTGGGAGAAATAAAACAAAACACCTTTATGTTAAAAGGTTAAGCTCTTCAGTAGGTTCCCTTTTCTCCACCTTAGCAGTATCCATAGGACAGTCCTCTTGAAAGTCTATTTCCAATTGTTACTCTTCTACCTATGCTAGTCTTTTTTTTTTAACTTGTCATTTTTATAGGGAGTAATTTGGTGTAAGTTGGTCTTTGTCCACTGCTTTACCAAGCATTTGCATTTCTTTCTGTATTATCTCTGCCAGAAGAGCAACGGGAGGCAGTCTGGTAGTACAGAACAGAAAGGTGACCTTAAGACAGGGCCTAGAAGCCCTGAGAATATTCTCGGGAATCTGAAAGCCATCTTCTCTGCCTGCAGGGCGCTCAGATGTTTGTCTCCTGGTTTCTGTCTCTAGGGCATTTGTTTACCTGAGCAACCTGCTGTACCCGGTGCCCCTGATTCACAGGGTAGCCATCGTCAGCGAGAAAGGTGAAGTGCGGGGGTTTCTGCGTGTGGCCGTGCAGGCCATTGCAGGTAGGTGACCTTGCCCCCGTGTGAGAGCTGTGGTTCTTCGCCCAGAGACAAGGCAGACCAGTTCTGTGTGGGCCGCACTTCAGTTGCGTGTTGGCGTGTCTGTCTCGGAGAAAGCTTTCATTGCTTCCTTTTAGTTATCATTTCCCCGTTATCATAAATAGATTCTGTTAGTCTGGGCCACAGCTATTGTGGAGTAATGGGATGAAGGGATTCCTTTAACATAAAGAACAACTTTTAGGGGCACCTGGGTGGCTCAGTGGGTTAAGCCTCTGCCTTCAGCTGAGGTCATGATCCCAGGGTCCTGGGATCGAGCCCAGTATCGGGCTCTCTGCTCAGCAGGGAGCCTGCTTCCCTTCCTCTCTCTGCCTGCCTCTTTGCCTACTTGTGATCTCTGACAAATAAATAAATAAAATCTTAAAAAAAAAAAAAAGAACAACTTTTATAAAAGTAATTTCTAAAACTGCTTCAGAAGTAACAAAGGATATCCAGGACCTTTTTCTTGCGTAATTTTCTCTCACGGTACTTGTACCAGCCATTTCAGTCCTTGGATTACTGCTTTGTTGCTTATGGATCAAGATTCTGCTATTTTACACTTCTCCATGATCCAGCCTACATTCTGAGGAAAGAATGTGGCCATTTCGTATAATTTCTAGATGCCCTTTGGTGTGGCGTGGCCTCGCAGCTTTTCCCTGTGGAAATCTTTGGCATGGTCACCAGGGTCAACTCTATGCCAGTTTGTGCAAGCACAGTCCCATACCTTCAGCTGTTCGTTGGGTGGTATTGCATGTCCTCTTGCCAAGGGAAGAGTCCGTGTTTCTAGGTGTGACATTTGAACAATATCAAGAATAAAACTGATTCCTTATTAAATAGTCTCATTTGAGCTGAGCAGGTTGGTAAACACACCTCTGCGTAGAGTTGGAATCAGCCCCTATGACTTCACTGCTTCCGGCTCTTCCTTTCTTAAGCAAAAGCTCGTTCTTCAGCATCTCCTCTTACGAAAGTCTTCTAGCTAGAAGGCTCCACCACTTTCCTGTTTATTTTATAATCCAACAAGAGCCATTCCTCTGGCCCCATCGTAGACTCATTTGATCCTTCTCTTTTTTGTTGTTGTGTTTTCTACTTAGCGGATGAAGAAGCTCCTGATTATGGTTCTGGGATTCGACAGTCAGGAACAGCTAAAATATCTTTTGATAACGAGTACTTTAATCAGGTGAGAACCCTTCCAGGGAGGGAAAAACTCAGAGAAGGAAAGGCAGGAGACAGGTTTATAATAAGGGAGGATATTCACTAGAAAACAGTTCTTCTGGCCAGAGCTGCAAAAGACAGGTGACCACAGGCTTGTTGCATGAACACAGGATATGTCTAACAATTACAGAGGCAAAGACACTATGACACTAATTCTGTTTTATTACCTTTTCTCAGGCAGCTCTTAATCCACATACTTTTCCAGCCATTGTTACTTTTGGGGCAAATAGACATGAGTAAGGAGGTTGGGGGAAATATGCTGTCATGCTGCTTGACCAGCTCCCTGCTCCTGCCTTGTTTTCAGAATGACTTTTCTTCAGTTGCAATGACTCGTTCTGGTCTGTCCTTGGAGGAACTGAGGATTGTGGAAGGACAGGGTCAGAGTTCTGAGGTCACCACTCCTCCAGAAGAAATCAATCGAATGAATGACTTGGGTACGTAGACAGAGGTTACCGTGACTGGGGACATTCTCAAAGAGGGCAAGATACTGACCATCATCAAGGGAGATAGTTGCTTTCGTCGACTAGGAATGGAAAGCGTGCCCTCCTCTCTCCTCTTTGAGAGTGGTCTGTGCCGTATTTGAACCATATGTGTGTTCATTTGACCCTTTCTAGATTTGAAGTCAGGCACTTTGCTGGATGGTAAGATGGTCATGGAAGGGTTTTCTGAAGAGATCGGCCACCACCTGAAACTGGGCAGCGCCTTCACTTTCCGAGTAACTGTGCTGCAGGCCAGCGGGATCCTCCCGGAGTATGCGGATATCTTCTGTCAGTTCAAGTAAGCCCCCCTCTGCGTGCCTGCCTCGCTGGTGCTGGTGACCCGGGTGACATCCTTTGTGTACCACCCAGTGCTTCACTCTACATATGCGAGGTGGTTTTTTTGTTTTTGTTTTTGTTTTTTTCCCCTATGTGAGGTGTTAATACTCTCAAGTGGGAAACAACTACCAGTGTCTGAAATAAAACAGCTTTCTTCACTCCAGGGGGCGGTAAGAACCAGAAACCTAAAATGGGATGAACTCGAGTTTGCTGTGAGGAGGGGTGTGACCGTGCATCCTGCTAAGAGGGTTCCACAGTGGCCTGTCCCCCCTCTGCTGGAAATACAGGATCTGATGTAGATAAGCCTGTTTAATCATCTTTTTAATGCTCTTCGTGGGAAAATATCTTATTAATAAACAAGTCTGAAGGCCATGAATTATCCAGCCACCAGTTACGCCTGTTCAATACTTGGAGGAAAAAAACCATGCAAATGACAGTAAAATTCCACGTCAACTGAAAAATAACTACTTTGTAGAGATGTGACTGGTTTCATTCCTTAGCCACTTACAAACTCTATCCTATAACCCTCTGGAGTTTTTCTTCTCATAACACTCCTTGGAAAACACTCTTTTGACAGTGTTAACTTTTAATACCTCCAGACATCAGTATGTTTTTTCATTACTGAGGAAGGGCCACAGTACAAGAGAGTGCGTTCTCCCTTGACTCAGTCCAAGTCCGCAGTTGGCCCCTGGCGCCACCAGGAGGCTCCTTGAGAGTTCTGCCATCCCTGTCCTTCAGCATGTGCCTCTCTGCACATCAGGGGTCCTCGTACAGTTGACAAAGCACTGCCTTTATGGAGATTATAGCCGCGAATCAGATGTGATTACTGCATAGTAAGCCACTGATATTGTTTGCTAGAACTCACAGTTGTTGTTGACATATTACCTATCGAGTGTTGATTGTGCCCTGTCGGTGTGTTTTCACTAGCAGCCCGAAATTAACATGGGGGTGGACTTAGCTAGATGACCCTGTTGCTTTGAGCTTTCATTATTACACTAGTTAGGCAACTGAAAAAAAATTTTTTTTAAGATTTTATTAATTTGAGAGCGAGGGAATGAACAGGGGAAACGGGAGAAGCAGACTCCCCTCTGAGCCCCCAACCTGGGACTCAAGCCCAAGACCCCAAGATCATGACCTGAGCCAAAGGCAGACGCTTAACCGACTGAGCCACCCACGCACCCCACAACTGAAATATTTTATGGAAAAGACCTACTTGGTTAACTGGCATCTGAAATGCCAGTAATGTCATGTTGATCTTTTTGTCCTAAAATCTCCAGCACGAGAGTAGCCTCTCCACCTGGTGTCAGCTCTGGAGGAGAGGGAGTGTTGACTCCTGTTGAAAGAAGGCTCAGATTCTTCTTGAGCTTTTACAGACTCTCATCTGGCCTGGTATAGAGAAGACACAGCTGTCGAGCAATATGAATGATTTCAGGCATCACCAGTGTGGAACCCCAGGATATTTGTCCCTGCTCTAAGCAGAGCACTGGAGGAGTGTAGATCCCAAATCAAGTAATGCCCCTGGCACATACAGCTTATGATCTGGAGAGGAAAAAAATTGGAAGGGAAAAAAAAGAAGAAGTACAAAGAGAGGGGTACCTGGATGGCTTGGTCAGAGTAAATCTTTGTATTCAGTATTCTTTAGTTCTACTTCTGTTTATTTCAGACTAATAGGGAGGGAGAGAGAAGTAAAACCCCACTATCTGTGAGTATAAATAAACATAGCCTATTGCTTCACAAATATTTCAGGAGTATCTTCTATATCTGGAACACTAAGGAGATACTATCTTTCGGGGACACAGGCATGTAAACATATTATTACAAAGAGTGAAACCATTGCTACTGAAGGAAAATGGGTCCCTAGTACTGTGGGAAGACACAGCTGTTTGGGTGAGTCAGGGAAGACTTACTGGAAGAGGTGACATTTAAATTTAATCTTCGCAGGTCATCAGAGACTGTCCTAGGCAAGAACACTAAACACAGGCTTTAGTACTACTTTATGGAAGCTTGAATCTGCCAGATCTTTTCTGCACAGAATGATTTCAATAATTTCTATTCTCAGTAAAAATAATGTTCCTACAAAGAAACAGGAAGTCACTGAATTCACTCTTGATGCTTTCGAGATATTCTTGCATGTGTGTCCACAGAGCTAAGTGGTCAGGGTCAGTTAATCTTTCAGTCATTTTTGAAATAAAATCTAAAATGCTGTCTGAGTGATAATGGAAAATATATATCACAAGGAACTACAAATTACTTGGTTCAGTTAAAGACTCTGCTTAAGTAGGCTACTTTTTTCCAGAGGATCCAAGTCAGGTTCTTTTTTTTTTTTTTTTTTTTTTTTTTTAAGAGGGAGGTAGTCGGAGGGGGCAGAGGGAGAGAAAGAGAGAATCTTAAGCAGGTTCCCCTCCCAGGTCAGGGCTCCATCTCACAACCTGATCATGACCTGAGCTGAAATCAAGAGTCGGATGTTTTAACCAGCTGAGCCACCCAAGCACCCCTCCAAGTCAGGTTCTTAAAACATAGATCTTGATGAAACTGTAATTTGAAATTCATGTGTCCTGTTTTTTTTTATTAAGCTTTTTGCATCGTCATGATGAAGCATTCTCCACTGAACCCCTCAAAAACAACGGCAGAGGAAGTCCTCTGGGCTTCTATCACGTGCAGAACGTAAGTGACATGGACGTTTTTGCCAGAAGAATTGCAGGTCTGGGGGCTGTCTGAGATGCGGTGTTAGGCAGTCGACCTGTGTGGGCGGCCTTTGTCTTTCGCAGCCCTGGAAGGAGGATTATCCAAGCTGCTTGGTGGTGAGAATAGACAATAGAGGGAGTGGCCAGAGCGATGAGGTAATCCTCAGTGGTCGGAGTGGCCAGCCTTCTCGAGTTACAGTGGGCCCCAGGAGTGTGTGGGGGTTGGGCTGCCCATAAAAATGTTCCATCAGTAGGAATGTAGTGAGTTGTTTTTAGTGTTTCCTTCCTAGAAAAATGAGTGGATTTAATATGAGTTTTGTTTAAGTTAACATATTGTCCTTTAAACTATAAGACACTTAGATTTCTCAGATGTAGGAAAAATTAAATTATCTTTTGTAGATAAATTAAGATTCAGTCTCTTTTCCTTGCAGCTGATCATATGATGAATCCATTAGTGCCCTTAGAGCTGTTGTTTGTAGAGTAAGACAACAGGCATTCCGTCTCTTCTAGGAAGGGTCACCCACACTCGATTCAAAGTCTGCAGCCTCATTACGATAGCTGACATTCTCTGAGCTCTTATTTCATCTCAGTTACTGTTCCAAAGGCCTTTTTTGTGTCTTCATTCATTTAATCCTTACCTTTATACTGTAGACCCTCATAAGCCCCATATGACTGCTGAGATGACAAGCACAGAGCAGTTAAGGTCACACACGAGGGTGACCGAGCTAGGAAGTGGCGGAGATGGGGTTGAAGCCGAGCAGTGTGGTCCTGGTGTTCAGGGTCTTCACTACGACATGACACGCTCTCCTTCTCTTGCTAACGGTAGGAGCAGGAAGGACAACACTGAAAATGGAACAGCAAACACAAAACACACTGTTTTCTTTTTTAGGTTTAATTGCATGAATATAAGCATGCGCATATCTCATAAATATTCATTGGGCTAGTGTGCACAAGGACTGTGCCTGACTCGGCTGGGGAGTAAGGATGAATCACAGAGGATTATGCCCGAAAGAGCTTAGGGGAAATCAAATGAATATTTAAACAGCAGTAGCATGCGATCATAGAAAAGTATTCCTTAAATGCGAAGGGAGTAGAAAGAAGGCAGGGTCATTTCCGTTAATGGGAAGATACTTTAAAGTTATGTTGGGTGGAGAAAGGAGGTGGGGAACTTCCTGAAGGTTATAGTGTAATAAGAAAAGGTGAGTCAGACTCGGTATTGTACCTGGTGCCTGGTCAACAGTCATGTTTTTCTCACTGTTGTTACTATTAAATCTGGGCCTTGAATGTAGGAATGACTTAAAGGCACGGAGATAGGGGCAGGCCTTCCAGGCAGAGCCGTAGCCTGGGTAAGTCCTCAGGCATCCCAAGGAGCGAAGCTCAGGCAGGAGGAACAGCAGGTGAGTTTGAACCAAAACAGCACGTGTGTGAAGGGCAGCAGGTATGTCAGATGACGGAGGGTCTTGAAGGCCTGGAGCTCGGTAGAGTAATGAGAACCAGGGAGGAGCCCCTGTCTTGGTATGGGAGGCCTAAAGAGTCGATACCCAGCACATCCTGGCTACTCTGAAGTGCTGACTTTCTGTGTGTGTGTTACAGCAGATCTTTCCCTAATCTAGCTTGGCTTTATTCCTTACTAGATTGCGGTGGAGGTCACCGAATCGTTTGTGGAATATATCAAAACCAAGCCGATAGTATTTGAAGTCTTCGGGCATTATCAGCAGCACCCGCTTCATCTGCAAGGACAGGAGCTGAACAGGTATGAACCAGATAAGCAACGATTCTTGTTGATCTTACTGTTACTCCTCCTGCCACTTGCTGGGAAGGAAGAAATCTTTTAAGGGATTAAGATAATTGAAGAACAATTTTCTGTGTTACCCGATGTTTCCTCTATAGAAACATCAGCACCTTTTTTCTAAGCCACCGAGTGACTAATGATAGGTGAAGCACATTGACGTTTGCCGGCTGCCCTGGAGGACCGTCTCTGTGCTAGGAAGAGACTTTGAACAGGATAGAAAGCGAGGTGGCGTAACATGAGGATTGTGTGTAAGGATTCCAGAGCTTTAGGAAGCATGAGCTGTAGTGGAGACGTCACAGGTGATGAGAGCAACGATGGGGCCTTTTGGGTGATCGTAGAGTGTCAGCGTTAACAGGAAAGTTCTCATATTTCACTTATTAGCTGGGACCCACAAGGGGACTTTTATTAAAATATCTGGTTCTCAGTTTCCCTGTGGGGATTATGTCTGGTGCCTGATACTCTGCTTCATCGGAAAGTGCAAATGATCTGTTTCTGGAGGAGATTCGAACATGCCATTAATGTCCACATGAGACCCTTTCTCAGCCTTGAACTTTGTTTCCTTCCTTTGCAGCCCACCTCAGCCATCTCGCCGCTTCTTCCCTCCACCCATGCCACTCTCCAAGCCAGGTGAGCCCTTCTCTGGGTGACACTGCTCTTATTCAGGTCGCTTTTCAGACAGAAATAATTTTTACATGCCCGCTCCTCTCCTGTGTATCTTTACGTGTTCCTGTGTCCAGCAGGAACTGGAATTCTAGGTTCCTGATTTAAATAAGTAAGACACAATAGGGCTCCTTCCCTGCCAACTTTCTGGTGGTCTTATTGTGGACTTTGATAAGCTCCCTGTTCCTAAGTCTCTCTGCTTTATATGTAACTCCTCCTGACTGGTGGGTGACTGGGCATTTCTTTGCATCTCAAATGTATTCTGCATGTTCATTCATCTTGTTTTGCTTTTTCTTTATTTTCATCCTTTTTTCCTCATTGCCCCCTTGCCACCCTCCCCCCGACCCTGTACTTGTTCTCCACCTCTGTACTGCTGCTCTCCATCCTGCCTTCAGACCATGAGAGAAAGATTGAACTCATTCGGTTTCTCATAGCTGACTATGTGAATGTGCATGTGTTGGACGCGTTTTCTGAGCACGCCAACGCGCTTGCTTCCTCCGCTGTTGCCACCTTCCAGGATGGGGCGGACCCAGGGCCGTCTTTTCTCTCTCTGCCAGTTCCAGGCTGCCAGAGTGAGAGGGCGCCCAAACGACATGGTTAGTAGCTGACCTAGCTCTGCCGTAGATGTAGAACCATGCTCAGGGGCTTATCCTAAAGCCTGGCTCTCTGTGTAGGAAACACACATCGCTGTTTGCTGCCTGAACCGGGCCTAGGGTCTAGCACGTTGTCAAGAATACGCTTCCCTTGGAGAGATGTGAGGACGCAGCTTCTCTGATGGGGCCGCTTTCCCCTCACCTGTGGGGGCGGGGCGGAGTCCCCTTGTGTTTGTTCACTTGGGTTCTTTGCAATGGTTCTTCAGTTTTAAAGATTTTTCCTAGTAGATGGTTTTTTTGTTTTTGTGTTTTTAACGCTTCTGATTTTGCTTTTTGGCCCTCAGATGACCACCAGACTCAGTGACACTGATTTTTTCTTGGCTAGCAGCACCAGCTCAGGTGGAATTCAGCCAGAGTGAATCATGCAGCTAGGCTAACATTTGACTAGGACTGTATGAGTCCTAAGGCCCCTTTAGATACCCTGTGTCAGTGGGTCCTCACAATACCTCTTCAAGATTGCGGCTAATACCCTAATCTGCTTCGTGTAGATGAGGAGACTTATTCCCAGAGATTCAGTGACTCAGCCGAAGTTGCCTAGTAGTTAGTGGCGGAATAGTAGTCGGTCCCAAGTCACTGGACTCTCCCACCGGTGCTCCCAGGTTCTGAGCAGAGAACGTGCACATTGGAATCACCTGGAGGGATTTCAGCCCTCTCAGAGGACTGGGTCCTGCCCATAGACATTGTGTCATGTAATTGCCTGGGCTTTGCTTTAAGATCCCACTTGCAAGCAGGTTTGGGAACTCCTGGGCTGGAGCATGGGTCTTCCCTCATGAGCTGCAGCTTTGAGGAGACCCCGTGAGGTGTGAGGCTCTGCCCACACTGCGTGTTCCACACCACTTCCTGCTCTGCCTGCCACAGAAGAGGAGAGTCTAAGGAAGGTTTTTGAGTGGTTTCGTGAGCACTTTTACTCTGCACGAAACCTGTGTTCTTGTCAACAGATGCTGTTTGCTGAGAGGGAGAGAGATACCAACTCTCCATTTTCCCAGTTCTCTGAATTTAGAGGCGCTAATGTCATTGATGGTGATGTTTATCTGGGTCTCCAGATTAAATCTCATTTAGTCTACATTTAAATCTCACCCTGACTCTTGTTACCTTTCCTGAGTGTGTCCTTAAAGAACTTATGCTTTTACTAAGTAGACTTGGACCATATTTTGACATTTTTCTAAAAACTTTTACAAGTTCCAGCCACCAAGTTAAACACCATGAGCAAAACCAGCCTTGGCCAGAGCATGAGCAAGTACGATCTTCTGGTTTGGTTTGAGATCAGCGAACTGGAGCCTACAGGAGAGTAAGTCCAACTTTATAAACTTTTAAACAAAGCCTAGGTTTTTCAAAGTTAGAAAATGTAATTTGGAATCTCTTTATATTCAGGTTAAAGACTCATTGTCACTTTTGAATTTCAGTTTTGAATTGAATTTTTGGTGGTGTTGGTATTATTTTTTTAATTAGATGTCGGTCAAAGAAGTGACTGTCCAGAGTAATAATTTGCCTTCTTATTAGCAACAGCAAGAACACGGAGACTGGCACTTTGTACAAGGAAAGAAAACTTACAGAGCGGATTCTGTCAGCAGCAAAGCAAAGGGAGTCAGAAGCATGTTGCACAGAATATAGTCAGAACTTTAACCTTAATCATCTCAGTGAGAGGACCAGGGGCAGAACGTTTCTTTACACCAGGGTTTCTCAACCTCAGCCCTGTTTTGGGCTGGATGACCCTTTGTCCGGAGCTGTCCTGTGCACTGTGGGATATTGAATTACATCCCTGGCCTCTACCCACGAGATGCTGGTAGCACCGCCCCTCCAATGTGACAGCCACAAATGTCTTCAAACATTCCACATCACCTCCAGCTGAGGACTGCTGACCTAGATCACAGTAATCAACATCAGCTTCCTTCCTCTGTGTGAGCTGTGTTAGAGTGAGCGGAGAATGTGATTGTTACTCATAGTTGTCTCTAAAATGCTCTTGGAAAAACACATAAAATAGATCCCCATTCCGAAACAGAGGCCAGGGGCTGTATCGGTTCATGGAAAGGGTGGGGAATAAATGTTATCCTGAGGATAATGCTTAGTACCGCCCTCATGATCATCTCCATGGAACATTTTTTGAGTTCCTGCTCTGTGAGAGAGTATGGCTGTATCAGTACTGTATTTAACTGTCAGTAGTGACGTTGCTTTAAGAAATTGTGCTTTCCATAGACAGATCTATAATGTGATTATAACTTGCATTATGAGGGAGACATACTCGCGGTAAGAGTGTCTACTGAGTTCATTGCTTTCTTATTCTTAAAAACTGCCTAAAATCAGAAACAGTCCCTTTCTTCCCTGCTGACACTTCCTGTTGCAGTTGTACATTTATTTGTGGACTGTTAGGCAAGTGGGTGGGATGGAGCCGAAGGATGTTACTGTGCTGGGAGCTCTTCAGTCTCCTGAGGGTGCTGTGGCGTGGATAAGTGACAGGGTTCATTGAATGCAAACGACTGTGTGATGAAGTGCCCAGATGGTGAGGAAGACAAGGGAGACAGAGACCACAGGGGCTGTAGCAACAGGGAGGGACTTGCGGGTGAGGTGACCCTCAGCACCGGCATCCCGTCTGTTTTCTTGTGCGTTTCTGTTTTACAGGTACATCCCAGCTGTGGTCGACCACACAGCGGGCTTGCCCTGCCAGGGGACGTTTCTGCTTCATCAGGTACTAACGAGAGAGCCAGAGAGGCCCTGAGGGAGGATGGACCCAGAGCTCTTTCTGTTTCTCTGTTTGTCCTCTCCATTTTAGTGGATATGGGGATTGAGAAACCTTGTCCTCTTGCTTCTTCTTTTTTTTCTCTTTCCTTTTTTTGTATGTTTGTTTTTTAATGTTTCTTCCTCAGACCTTGGCTTATATTATACCCTTGCTTAAATATATAAATATATTTTAGAAGACCTATTTTGAAAAATATTTTTATTCAATTACTGTAATTTGTGCAGCTCCCATGTCATTTTTTTAATATAATTTTTTTTTCTTGTATACAGTTTTCATATTTGGAAACTATGCTTTCACAGTTAAAAGTTTTGTTTTGCTTTGTTTTTAAAGATTTTATTTATTTACTTGACAGAGACACAGCGAGAGAGGGAACACAAGCAGGGGGAGTGGGAGAGGGAGAAGCAGGCTTCCTGCTGAGCAGAGAGCCCGACGCAGGGCTCGATCCCAGGAATCATGACCCGAGCCAAAAGCAGACGTTTCACAACTTGAGCCACTCAGGTGCCCCTTCCAGTTAAGAATTCTTAATGGAGGGGCACCTGGGTGGCTCAGTTAGTTAAGCCTCTGCCTTCAGCTTGGGTGGGATCGAGCCCCACACCAGTCTCCCTTCTTCTCCCTCTCCCGTTCCTTCTGCTTGTGTGCACTCTCTCTCTCTGTCAAATAAATAAATAAAATCTTAAAAAAAAAAAACAACTTTAAAAAAAGTTTTTAATGGAGATAGAAGATGGATGTTGCAGTGGACTAAAAATCTAGCCATGAAATGTAGGTCCTCCTTTGGTAAATCAAAAGTAGATTCAGTTAGTGCTCAACAGTTCTTGACTGGGACGCCTGGCTGGCTCAGTCTGTGGGGCTTGTGATTCTGGATCTCAGGGTTGTGAATCCAAACCCCACGTTTTGTATAGAGATTACTTAAAAATAAAATCGTAAAAAAAAAAAAAAAAGCTTATGACCTAGGTGGGCATAGGAGCGAGGGTCTCATATTCTGGGTCATATGATCTGGTCATCTGTTCTTAAAGCCGTGTCAGAACCTGGTTCTTCCTCAGCCCCTGACCTCTATCCCTTTGTTTAGAGTAACAGTGGGGACAGCATTCCTCCCCTCTCCCCAGACCTCTCCTCTTGCCCACCCCTATACCATACAATCCGGAAAAGAACACACAAGGAAATCATAGACTGTCCCAGCTAAATTGCAGCCTGGCTCTGTCACCTAGGGCATCCAGCGAAGGGTCACAGTGACCATCATCCACGAGAAGGGGAGTGAACTCCATTGGAAGGATGTTCGTGAGCTGGTGGTAGGTGAGTACGTTCCATCGGCTGAGGTTGGAGCCGGGCTTTTTCGAGGAACACGGGGAATGTGGGGTGAGGGTACTGGAGAACACAGAGTGTGGAGGACATGTGGCCTTGAGTGTGAAGCTACTCTTGTTTCTCAGCCCCCATGGTTAGGGATAAGGCATTCAGCCAACCATTATTTTACTCAGCTATTGTGGGAATGGCTCTGTGTTAGAGGCTCAGAGAGGGCAGAAGTTTCTGCTCGTTGGGAGTTCCGTTGGGGAGACAACATATGTATGTTTAAAACAGTTTGGGGAGCCCGGCTGGCTCAGTTGGTGGAGTGTGCGACCCTTCATCTCAGCATCGTGAGTTCAGGCCCCACCCCGAGTGTAGAGAGTACTTAAATAAATATATATACTTTCAAAAAATAATGAATAAATAAAGCACTTTGATGAGTAAGTCCCAGAATGAGGGAGGGTGAGAAAGATCTGTGCTGAGAATTAACAACAAAAAGGATCCAGGTGGGTCTGAGTAGATGCAGGAGAAATGAGAGCGTTTCCGTCTGTTTTGTTTTCCACACACAGAAAGCATCTTGAGTAAGAGGGCCAGGAACGGCTCCAGCATGCAGATGGCTAGAAACCCATGGCCAGGGTCGCATGATGAAAAGAAAAAATTGACTAAACCTTATAAGCTTTAGAGTCCCAAGGCAGGGTTCTGAATCTTTATTGCCATGAACCCCTTTGGCAGTGCGAAGCCTCAGAATTGTGTTTTTAAATGTAAAAAATAAAGTACAGCTGACCTTTGAACCACATGAGGGTTAGAAACACAGTCGAATATTCACTTATAACTTTTGACTCCTGGAACGTAACTGCTAACAGCCCACTGTTGACCAGAACCTTCCCAATCACTTAGTCAATTGACGTATACTTTGTATGTTACATGTATTGTATACTGTATTCTTTTTTTTTTTTTTTAAGATTTTATTTATTTGACAGGGAGAGAGGGAACATAAGCAGTGGGAGAGGGAGAAGCCGGCTCCGGGGCTCGACCCCAGGACCCTGGGATCATGACCTGAGCCTAAGGCAAATGCTTAACCACTGAGCTACCCAGGTGCCCTATATACTGTATTCTTTAAGTAAGCTAGAAAAAGGAAAATGTTATTAGGAAAAGTATAAGGGGGCGCCTGGATGGCTGGCTCAGTCGGTTAAGTGTCTGACTCTTGATTTGGGCTCAGGTCGTGATCTCAGGGTAGTGAGATGGAGCCCCATGTCGGGCTTTGCACTGGGATTGGAGCCTGCTTAAGATTCTCTCTCCCTCTCCCTCTGCTCCTCTCAGCTTTTTTAGAGCTCTCTCTAAAAAAAAAAGGAAGAGAAAATACATTCACAGTGCTGACTGTACTTAAGGAAATAAATCTGTATATATAAGTGGACCCTTGTAGTTCACACCCATGTTCAAGGGTCAGCTGTACATAGGATTACAAAGGGAACTAATGATACTGAAATTGCTCAAATACTAAACAGGTTTATAACATAAACTGTCCTTTATATTAATGCATTAAGTACATTAAAGAAGCAGTGGGTCTGATTTTTATCATTCAGAGTGTGATGAATGTCAGGATATTTTATCTTAGTATTACAGGAAAACTTCTATGATTTCTGCTGGGGACAGAGTCACGGGTACTGCTGATTTTCCTGTGAATTGTCCCATCCTTTCAGAATTGAAGGAAATGCCAAATGTCAGTCAGAGGTTTATGAAAATAAAGTTGTACTTCTTTTTCGCGTTGAAGCACAAGGACCTCCTGAATTCTATACATAGACTCTTTGAGTTATCTGTGGACCAGATTAAGAACCTCTAGAAGGGAGATTATATTCTCTTCATCTAGGGCAGTGGTTTTCAAGCCTGTTTTTTTTTTTTTTAATGAACACTTAATTTACTCTGTAACAGGTACATTCCTGAATGCTTTAAAAATACTAGTTTATTTCATATAATATAATGTCACAAGCGTATAACATGGTTGTAACAATCTTGTGAGAGCAGAATTGTTAATCCTCAGAGACGAGGCTCAGAGAGGTTGAGCAGCACGCCTAAGCCTCACAGCCAGAAAGTACTGAAGCTGAGTCTTGACCCCGGCAGTCCAGCTCCACAGACTATGCTCTTGACCTCTAGGCTCTGCACCCCCTCGGGTTCCCCCAGTCTTCATTTGAAGACGGTTGTGGGATTTTGAACAAGAAAGTGGTATAGCGAAGGCGGTGGCTTAAGAAGTTGAAAGTGGGCGTAGGGTGGATTGGAGAGGGGGAGAGGTGAGCAGCCCGAAGGCCAGTGAAATGGCCACCGCAGCGTTCCAGACAGGAAGGGGATGACCTTTGCGAGCAGGGGGTGGTGGAAATAAAAGTTGAGGTGAATCTGAGAAATTTTTTGAATAGAGAATCAGTCAGGTTTCACAATGGACTAAATGTGGGAATTCAGCAGAATGCAACATGGGAAATTGTGGGAGAGCACTTGGCGGGGAGCCGCGTGACCCTTCCAACACCTGAAGGTACCTGGGTTTAAAAGTCTCTCTTTGGCTAAATGAATTTCTGTTGTGTTTGCAAGTGTACCCCTGCCCTAGTTTCTTTATTCTTCCTTGTAGGCCGGATCAGGAATAAGGCTGAGGTGGATGAGGCTGCGGTGGATGCCATCCTCTCTCTAAATATTATCTCTGCCAAGTACCTGAAGTCCTCCCACAACTCCAGCAGGTAGGGCCTCTGCACAGCCCTAGGGGGCCCCCCTGTAGGGGCTGATGGCTCCCCAATTGGGATTCCTTGTTCACCGGAGACTTCTGTTCAGGTGCAGAAACAAATTCCTTTCTCACTTCAGACATCCCTCTCCTCCCTGTGGCGCTGCTCTCCGAAAGCAAATAGAGGCCGGGGTGTGGGGATCAGTTACCGGAACGAATGAACGTTCTGTCCTGTGTGGTGAAGTTTGCGTAGATGTAACACAGTCGGAGAGACAAGAGCAGCAAAAGAAAGCGCAGCCTGCTACCCAGGGGTTTAAAAGTACAGATTAATTGTTGCTGAGACTGCTTTGCTGTGAAGGGGTTGCTGTAGAGGAAGGTCTGTTGGTCCTGAGTGTCATGGAAGCACGTCCTCCTGGCATAACGGACCCTCTTGTGTCTAGCCTTGGCTGCTGCCTGCAGAGGGTCCGGGAGTCTGTGTTTGCTTTTCATTTTCATTTACTCAGAAAGGTGACAAACTAATATATATAAACTCTTCTGAACAAGGTTGTCTGCTCTAAATAATGAATTTTATTTTAAATTTTAAATTAGTTTCCCTTAAAATTCCATTTTATAATCAAATGAGGACAGACAGTGCCTAAAGTACACAGCCAATCTGCTTTCCCATGTCGGACTGGAGATAAATCTACTGGGCCCCCCTCCCTCCCCGGGAAAGGAGTGATGTTACTGTGCACAGACCCCACTCCTTTATGTGGCAAGGGCTGGAAAGCAGGGCTGGCCTTTGCATTTCCGGAAGACTTCTTACACCTCTGTCTGTTCCGGAAAAATGTCCTCACATCTGTGTTGGAAAGAGAGAGAGGAAAAAGGGAGACAAAAAGCAGAAACAGGCTTAAAAGTTTGGGCTGGGATTAATTTCTTTCCATTGTTTCCTTGTGGCGGTTTTGCATAAAAAGAAAAAAAGCAAGTGTCTGTTTTTTGCCTGTAGGAGGAGCTGAAGGCACTGAGAGTGAGAGAGAAGGAATATGAGGGTGTGCCTGAGTGGGAGGGGTGCAGAGATAAGGAAGCGTGCTCTGGCCCTGCCTGGCCTAGCCCTGGGCAGAATCTTGAGCAGTCGTTTCTCCGAAGTCAGCCGTACCGCGCAGGGTTTTCTCTCCGGCGGGACGTTGATAGCAGATACTCAGCTGCTGTGCGCCGTGTTCTCTTTGCAACTATAAGGAATAGATCTGAAATTTCCCTAGAATATTTAGCAAAATGCACAGAACAATGATGTTTGATTGAAATGCTGGTTGTCTACATTAGAGGAAACTTCAAAAGTTCTTTGATTCATACCCAGCCACAGGTCAGATGCTGTAGATTAATTTGGCTTTCGTTAGAAGCAGCTTCTTTCACAGAAGTTTAGAGTTAATCAAAGAAGTTGGCCAAAGTCAAGTATTTTTAATAAAAAGATACACACTTAAAACATTCTAAATTTAAACTATATAAACGTACATTAATTTGTCAATGTCTTACTGCAGGGCCAAGGCCTTTCCTTAAATTGTAGGCTCATTTACTGAACTTCCGATTGTCTTTCTTGCAAAACCAAGCCCATAATTCATCATCTGATTTTTAATTTGGTGGAACAAGAACTAGAAACCTAGGGGCGCCTGGGTGGCTCAATGGGTTAAAGCCTCAGCCTTCGGCTCAGGTCATGATCCCCGGGGTCCTGGGATCGAGCCCCACATCGGGCTCTCTGCTCAGTGGGGAGCCTGCTTCCTCTACTCTCTCTGCCTGCCTCTCTGCCTACTTGTGATCTCAGTCAGTGAAATAAATAAATAAAATCTTAAAAAAAAAAAAAAAAAGAACTAGAAACCTATAAAGAAACTAAATGTAAAATCCTTTAAACTTTTTAACATTGATCATTAACATTTTATTTTTTGCCCCCCCCCTTTTTTTTACATTGATCACATCCAAACTTAACAGCTGTTTTTTAACTCAGCATTATCATGTCTTTTACAAACATTCAACCTTGGGGGCGTGCACTTGGGTGGCTCAGTGGGTTAAGCCTCTGCCTTCAGCTCAGGTCATGATCTCAGGGTCCTGGGACAGAGCCCTGCTCAGCGGGGAGCCTGCTTCCCCCTCACCCTTCCTGCCTTTCTGCCTACTTGTGATCCCTGTCTGTCAAATAAATAAAATTTTTTAAAAACAAACAAACATTCAACTTGGGAAGCGCCTAGGTAGCTCTATGGATTGGGCATCTGACTCTTGATTTTGTATCAGGTCACAAGCTCAGGGTCATGAGCTCAATCCCTGCATCTGACTCCGTGCTGACCGTGGAGCCTGCTTGGGATTCTCTCTCTCTGGCCCTCGCCCTGCTCGCTCACACTGTCTCACACACTCTCTCAAAAAATAAAATAAAATAAAATAATTCAACTTAGGGACACCTGGGTGGCTCACTTGGTTAAGCGGCTGCCTTCAGCTTAGGTCATGATCCCAGGCTTCTGGGATCGAGTCCCGTCTCAGACTCTCTGCTCACCGGGGAGCCTGCTTCTCCCTCTCCTTCTGGCTGCTGCTCCCTCTGCTTGTGGTCTTTCTCTCTCTGCCAAATAAATACATAAAATTTTTTTTTTTTAAGTTTCTGTTTATTTATTTATTTGACAGAGAGATAGAGACCACAGGTAGGCAGAATGGCAGGCAGAGGGAGAGGGAGATGCAGGCTCTCCACTGAGCAGGGATCCTGATCTGGGGCTCGATCCCAGGACCCTGGGATCATGACCTGAGCTGAAGACAGCCACTTAACCAACTGAGCCACCAGGTGCCACCCTAATAAATAAAATCTTCCAAAAAAAAAAAAAAAAAAAAAAAAGTTAGTTTTGCACTAAACAAAAATTCCTTTTGCCCTCATGTTTCATGGATTTGCCTAATATTTGATTAAATTTGATGATTATATTAACTAAAACTGTATAAACAGGTTCAGAACTAAATACTATTGATACTTGGTAAGCACAACACCCAGGTCTTGGAAGCAAAGCATCTGGCATGGGAGATCGCACTAGTCGAGGATGCTCAGTGCGAACCGGACATCTGTCTTTATATTTTAAGAATATGGAGAGTATAAGTGAATTTAGGAAGTTGCTAAGTGGAATTTGGTTAAGAGAGCTTTTGTTCTATTTGCCTAAGGTTTACTGTTTAAAGTTGAACTTAAAGAACTCCAGTTTGGGTGTGTGGAACACATTCGCCTGTGAGTGCTCTCCCGGGACACAGCTAGTGCTGTGCAGGCCACAGGGGCCACTGCCGCTTTTCTTCCCAGTCCTGCTTCTGGGTCACCTAACTGACGTGGTTTCCCTTCACGCCACAGCAGCTTCCTACCGTTTCCAGTACTGCGTCACCTGCAGGCGGTGTTAATGGAGGTGGCGTCCACCATCCTTTCTGTGCCCAGCATTTTCCTTAACTAAATGTCTCAGGAGAGGGACCCGTGTCATTTTAAGCTGTCTGTCAGATGGCGCCCGTGCAGCTCTCTGCTCGTTGTCCCCTTGGATTTACTTTGCTTCACAGCAAATATGTCTTTTTTATGTATTTTTTTTCCTTTTGCTTTGCTCTTTTTTCCTTTCCTTTTTTGTTCCGCTACTACACTAACAAAAGCCTTTTCTATGTTTTTGCAGGCTCTTTCTTGATAAGGATATTCCTAGGTATTTTCTGTTTGCTTTTTTGCACATAAAGATTCTAGTTTATCAGAATGCTTTATGTCTTCTGTTGCTTGGACCGCCGTTCTCAGTTAGTAGTGTTGCCCCGTGCAGACCTAGGATAGAGCTGCGCCTTATCGTGTACCCTCTGTGCCCTGGCTGTCCCTGCTGCACACACAGTTTCACACACTGCTTCATGAGGGCCTGATAGAGCCCCTCTTTCTCGTCGCATTCACTAAACCTGCCCGTTTTATCCTTATGCACCTTCCGCTTCGCCTCTGCTGGATTACAAATTAGAGTGTGACTCCCTTCCTTCCATGAGGAATCTAAGCCTGGGTCTTCTGTTCTTCTCTTTGTCCTCTGTCAGGAGCGTGAGACTTTGCTGCTCTGTAGTTTTGCATAATCACTCACTGTTTTCTTGGTTTTGGCCTGTGAGGTAGTAGAGACTTATTTGGGCAGCTGAGTCTGTGAGAAATAGGTTGTTTATTTTTAAACATTTCTCTTTCTGCTGTCAGAGCTGCTTGTCTCATCTATTTATTTTCTTCTTTTGGGGTAGGAAAAAATCCTGGTTCAGTGGTGAAGGAAGTCTTTTCCCATCTCTCTTCATCTCACTTAGGGAAGTTATTTGTCACAGGAAATCTAGAAAACACGGCAATAGCAAGGTTACCATTTGGGAAGGAGCAAGGAGGAATATAGAAGGAAGCAAAGTGTGAGGAAACTCTTTCTCACTGAACCAGGTGCAAGCCAGTGGGACGGAACGTGCTCTGTGACGAGCAGACCCTTGTCATGGGGCCTGCCGGGGTTGGGGGCTGCGGGCGGAGCTGGGAGTTGGGCTGTAACTCAGTGTAGTGCTTTGGAGGGGGTGGCAGAACCAGCAGAACGGCTGTCCGGTCAGGTTTGTGGGGCTTTACCAGTAAGAAAAAAGGTAGATATTAGAACAACTTAAAAAACAGTTTCTCATGGGGCACCTGGGTGGCTCAGTAGGTTAAGCCTCTGCCTTTGGGTCAGGTCATGATCTCAGGGTCCTGGGATCGAGCCCCACATCGGGCTCTCTGCTCAGCGGGGAGCCTGCTTCCCCCCCTCTCTCTCTGCCTGCCTCTCTGCCTGCTTGTGATCTCTGTCTGTCAAATAAATAAATAAAATCTTAAAAAAAAAAAAAAAAAAGAACAGTTTCTGGGTGCTTATAAAGTCAAGCTTCAGGTTGTTATGGAAGCTTAAGATTGGTTTTCATGTGGATTTTTTTTGAAAGGTAACGAATAGTAACCAGTTTTGGTATTAAAATCATTCTTTTACTGAAACCTCAGCTAAGAGTAGCCTCTTATTCTTTTATTTAAAATCAGATTTTCTGTACTTAAATTATCCTGCCTGTTTCCTCTGTCAGGCCTCGCAGGTGTTTGTGACATTTCGAAGGCTCGGCGGAACTGGACTGGGATGTGAAGATAGGCTTCCGGGCTCCTGAGGATTTTCTTCTTCTTCTCTTTGTTGACTGGCAGAAGCACTTACTTAGGCTTTCTTCCTTCGGTTTCTATCCACAGGCGCTTGTCCTTTCCATCTTAATCTCTTTGATTGATCTGGTTTTATGTTTATAGGCAGAGAAGCAGGCTTGTCCAAAAAAGAAAAGCATAGCTAAGTGCTCCTGGATGGTGGGTGGGGTGAGAGACTGGGGGCCTGCCTTTTCCTTCTGGGGATGGAGACTCCGCTGTGTGGTCAGATCCCAGTGCGCTGCAAGAGTTTGCTGGTGTAGGATGCGGGATGCAGTCGTGTCGCTGACTGAGTACCTGGACCGAGGTGACTTGGCTTCTTCTGGATGACTGCCTCTTGCCTTTCTGAACGCAGGACCTTCTACCGTTTCGAGGCCGTGTGGGACAGCTCCCTCCATAACTCTCTCCTCCTGAACCGAGTGACGCCCTATGGGGAAAAGATCTACATGACCTTGTCAGCATACCTAGAGGTGAGGAGATTGTGAACCTAAATCACCACGAATGGCTAAGCCTGAACAATGGGCAGATTACCACAAGTGAGGAGGAAAGATTCAACTGATTATTTTGTCAACTGTTTCCTACTGTTCTGACTGTATTAGCTTCTGCTCCTAGTTTCTGTGTAATCACAAAGTCTACCATGGGGTGCCTGGCTGGCTCATCAGAAGAGCCTATGACTCTTGATCTTGGGGTCATGAGTTCGAGCCCTATGTTGGGTGTAGAGATTACTAAAAAAAATAATAATAAATAAACTTAAGGTCATATGACTTCTATTATAACTTCAGTTTTAGTAACCTAATCACCTTCTTCACAGAAGGTATGATTTTAAGAAAACTTCGCCTCTTCTTTTTATGGTTTTGGGCAGAGCCTAGTAGTGATTTAACAGTGTAGACCCTGGAACCAGCCTGTCTGTTCAGATCCCTGTGCGGCCACTTACTGCCAGCATGACCGGGACTCTGTCTGTGCCTCAGTTCCCCCATCTCTTAAATGGGAGTAATAATGACAGCATTTACGTCACAAAGGGGTAGAGAGGTCATACACAAAAGCATTAGAACCGTGCTTGGCACATAATAATAACTATTTGCCATTATTTCAGAAGAAAGTTTTTTTTTAATTTGGGGAAAATAAAGCAGCTGCAAAGACTGCGACCTCCTCTTGCACACGCTATCTGCTGAGCTGCCGTTGAAGTAGTTGGTAGAGCTGACATCTTCCAGCCCCCACCTCCGGGACCAGCTCTCCGACTCTGAGGGGCACAGAGTCCTGCCACGGGTGCTCTGTCTGCATTTAAGTGGAGCCCACTTCTTGTGCTTTCAGCTGGATCACTGCATCCAGCCGGCAGTCATCACCAAGGACGTGTGCATGGTCTTCTACTCCCGGGACGCCAAGATCTCGCCGCCACGCTCTCTGCGCAGCCTCTTCGGCAGTGGCTACTCGAAGTCACCAGACTCGTAAGTGTCTGAGACAAGTGTAGCTTCCAGCTGGTTCGCCCCCAGCAGACTCAGCAGAGCCCTCGGGGTCCCTGGCTTGCTGTTTCAGGGTCGGCTTCCAGCCTGATAGCGGGATGCGGTAACTCCCAGGTGTTGGCATTGACTGAAATACTGACGGGTGCGTGCGTGTGTGAAGGGACAAAGTCATATTACATTGGGACCCTCGCAGAACAGTTTTGCAGGGACTGAATGTTCTTTCAGATGTCGTTAATTCTTACCGATTACCACTGGGATTTTCTTCTGTTAAAGACTTATTCCTATTTAAGGTACATCAAAATATGTCAGGCCTAACACAGGGATTACTTGTGCCTCACTCCCGTCTAAACAGTAAGGTTCCTAGTCACACGCCCCCGAATTCGATGCTCACCATTTCATTCTAGTCAGACTTTCCCCCTCATCTCTTCTCTTGTGGTAAGGCAGATTTTTAATTTGTATATTTGTATTACACACTTTGGGGTTTATTATTCAATTCATTCCTCCTGTTGAAGTAATTCAAGAGATTCCTTCTAGGAAAAATATACTTCTTAAGTTTAGAATAAGAAAGGAAATAAGAAAAGTCTGTAATTCCATTTGAGTGTGGGCTGCAGTCTGGACAGCAGTGTTTTAAGTGGAAGGAATTGAGATTTTCCTGCTTTTGTGCTGTAAGAAGTTAACCAGTTGTTTGTTTTCATTCGAATAGCAATCGAGTCACTGGAATTTATGAACTCAGTTTATGCAAAATGGCGGACACGGGCAGTCCAGGTAAGCCCTTATGGATGGGGAGCTGATAGTTATCTTTGCCTGTGTTTGGAGTATATTATGTCCAAAATCTATCCTTCTCACGTAGGATTAATAGAAAATTTTTTAGAAAGCAGGTATATTTCATAAGCCATTTTTTTTTTTGGTGGTGATGAGAGTTACCTTTTTCTGAGTTACAACACTATTTGGTTTGAGACCTCCTAAACAGTTATGAAAACTATATTGAACAAAATGTCATGAGGTTGCAATGTATTACAAAAAATTTTGAGTATATTAGAATGAATTTGGGTTGGCAGACTTCATAACCATTTCCCTTTCCATGTTAGTGCCAAAGATACCTCAGCAGGGTAGCTTTATAGGTGCTATCGAGCTAGAATTCGAACTTCTTGTGCTCTAGGAAGATGGATTATTAAATTGAATCTGTACTGTGTCCTTTCTGATGTCTCTTTGCACTGCTGCTGTTCCTCTAGCTTGGTGGCCTTTGCATGTCTATGTTTATAAACTGGAACTGGAACTATAAACTATGTTTATAAACTGGAACATGGACAAAAGTCAGGGTTTTTAAAGAGCATTTGATTAAGGTGAGGTTGAATTATCTTAGAGAACACTTACGGAAGAAGGTCAGGTCCCACAGGTAAGATTTAGATTAAAAACAGAAGTTGAGTATGAGTCCTAGTCCCAACAGCAGCTAATTATAGTGTCCAGACACCTTCTTAAGAAAGTTTCTTAATTAACATAAATTTATATCTTTGATATGTATCAACAGTCTAACATTTTTTAAAAATTGATGGGAAATGATGGTGCCGAAGCTGTCCATCATCTGGAGCCCTAACCAAGCTTCTGAATGTGGGACGCGGCGGGGGGAGGGGAAATGGAGAGGTGGTCCCTTCCTACTTTATTCATAAGGGTGTATTTTTATATATTTGGAACCGTAAGGTACAGACTATTCAGTCTTTCTACATTTTCACTTAACACAGTAGCTTGGGCATCTTCTCAAGTTACATCACAGTCTTCATAGTTATCAAAGAATGTAACTCAATTTTAAAAGAAGTTCAAAGAATTCCTTTAGGGCAAAAGGGATAAATATTTATTAGTAAATAAAATCCCATGGATCTTGAGTAAGTGTCATGATTTGCCATGTGTATGAATTATTTTGAGCTAAAAATGGGATCAGGGTTTTCTCTGAAAGAAAAAGAAAAGATATTGTTTTCTCTTGGCTCAGGCATGCAGAGGAGAAGAAGAAAAATCTTGGATACATCAGTGGCATATGTGCGAGGAGAAGAGAACTTAGCAGGCTGGCGGCCCCGTGGGGACAGTCTCATTCTTGAGCACCAGTGGGAGTTAGAGAAGCTGGAGCTCCTTCACGAGGTACCCAAGGGCAGGAGACGCTCAAGTGAACTCCCAAAATACCAGCCACCACTCACCTTCTCTGTGTGATCTTGGCTTTTCGCCTTTCAATCATGATGGAGGCATATTTTCCTTACTAAGATCTTAATGAGCTTTGGGGTTCCTGGGTGGCTCAGCGCTTAAGCGCCTGATTCTTGGTTTCGGCTCAGGTCATGATCTTGGGGTCATGAGATCGAGCCCCATGTCAGGCTCCTTGCTTAGTGGTGGGGAGTCTGCTGAAGATTCTTTGTCCCTTTCAGTCTCCCTCTGCCCCTTGCCACTCCATTCACGCAAGCGCTCTTTCACCCTCCCTCCATCTCTCTCTCTCTCTCTCTCAAATAAATAAGTAAATAAATCTTTAAAAAAAGAATCTTGGGTCGGGTCCTGGGATGGAGCCCCGCGTCGGGCTCCCCTGCTCAACGGGAAGCCTTTTTCTCCCTCTCCCCCTCCCCCTGCTTGTATTTCTTCTCGCACTCCGTCAAATAAATAAATAAGAAATCTTTACAAAACAAAAAAATCTTAACAAGGTTTATGTCCGCTGAGGCAGCTGTGCTGATCTTCTCAGGTGGAGAAAACTCGCCACTTCCTGCTGCTGCGTGAGAGACTTGGTGACAGCATCCCCAGATCCCTGAGTGACTCGTTGTCCCCCAGCCTCAGCAGCGGGACCCTCAGCACCTCCACCAGCATCTCCTCTCAGATCTCTACCACCACCTTTGAAAGCGCCATCACCCCCAGCGAGAGCAGCGGCTACGACTCGGCGGACATTGAAAGCCTGGTGGACCGAGAGAAGGAGCTGGCTACCAAGGTGTGAGTCCCTTCCTCTCGCTGAGCCCCCTGGGAGCTGGGTTTTCATTTTCATGTTTCTTTGAGGGCCTCTGTTTCAAGGCCTGTACTCGCTGTGAAGATAGAAATAAGTAAGACTCCATTTCTACCCTTGCTGCACTCACAGGTGACTCGGTGACAAGCATGTGATAAAGGTCTGTGTCTGAGTCCGGGGGAGCCGGAGGAGAGCCCTCCACGGGCCGGTGCTGCTGAGCTAAGCTCAGAAGCCCGCCCCGGAGCGACCATGTAGGCTACAGCTCAGCGCTAGGGAGTCGCTGGGGAACACAGGGAGGGGCAGGACCAGATCTCCCAGGGTCTGGGGACTGGACTAGAGAGCAGTGTCCTGGGGGTGATACAGAAATATCTTGAACTAGTGTTCGTGTTTTAGGAAGACCGCTGTGGCAGCAAGAAAGAGGGTGGGTTTGGGGTGACAGAGACTCGAGGCACAAAGAGCTGTTGACGGCACAGAGATCTCTCCGGGTGAGAGATGGTGTGGGTCTCCGCTGAGGCAGGAGGCTGCGGGCTGGAGAGGAAGGGTCATCACGGAAGAGACACCGGGGCCGTAGAGTTGGCGCTCCTTGTTGCCCGGATGGGGTGGGAGAGGACAAAGGGGTCGCTGAGGATGACTCCCAGGCGTGTGGTGTCTGGGCAGCCGGCCCACAGTGGGCTAGAGGGGTGAGAGGGCTTTTGTGCCGTGTTGTTTCAGTAACCAGATGGTCTTCTAGTCAGTTTAGGAAAATAATGTCCATCCAGAAGTCTCCATGGCCTTTAGGACCAGGAGGAATCGGAACGGGCACTGTTGTGTTCTTAAGCACTTCCAGACTGGTGCTGCCAGCTCTTGTCTTGAGAATGACTTTTTGACCCACTTAATTTCTCTTCATTAGGCATACAACAGGCTGCCCTTGCTAAATTACATTCTTACTTCATTCTAGACCTTTCGGGGCCGTAGCTGAGCTCCACTGTGGGTGTTAGCCTGTTGTTTCCTCCAACTGCCTTGCATCGAAGGCTTCATGGAACTGTTGAGACTCACACCTTCCTCTCTCTCCCCTAGTGCCTGCAACTCCTCACCCACACTTTCAACCGGGAGCTCAGCCAGGTGCACGGCAGCATCAGTGACTGCAAGGTGAGCCACCCAGGTTCCCCGTCCCAGGTCCCTGCTTTGACGTGGCCTCACATGCGTGTAGCGTCGGATCTGAGGATGAAGGACATACCTGCTCTTGTGTTTGATTTAATCTCTCCGAGTCGGAACACTGACTTCCGCAGATAAAGGCTCTGCAGTGTTATCAGATGTGTCTCTCAGAGTGTTATCAGATGGGACACATTTTGGCTTTTCCCCGAATCCCTTGGAGAAGACCTTGTAGGGACTGGTATGTCACTGTGTGACAGGACACCAGAAGTCCTGAGGTTCTTGGTGGCATTAAATGTTGTTGGCTTCAGCAAAGAGGCGAGCGCTGAAAGCGCCTCTGCAGCGCTCACTCAGTGCTGTGCCCTGCGACCTTTTCTGCTCCCTCTTCCTTCCTGCTGGGGAGGCCTTTGCGCCCTCGCCGTTCCTTTCCTCGGGGTCGTCTCCTTCCAGATGTTCCCATGATTGGCGCCCTTATCTTGTTCATTTTTCTCTCGAACATCCACTCCTTAGCCACCCTCTGTAAAGGCAGCAGCTCCCTGAAGCCGCCTGACCTCTCTCCCTGCTGCATGTTTTGCTGTAGCTCTTACCGCCACCTGACGCCGCGTTTTATTCTAGTGCAGTTGACACACGGTGTTAAGCTGGCTCCAGGCTTATAACATAGTGATGGAACAGTTCTGTACCTTACCCAGGGCTCACCACGTGACAAGTGTCGTCCCCATCTGTCACTGCACGGTGTTACTACAGTGTTAGCGGCTGTATTCCCGATGCCGTCCTTTTCATCTGCATGACTGACTTACTCTGTCACCGGAAGCCTGTACCTCTTCATTCCCTTCATGTTTCCCATCCCCTCACCATCTCCCCTCAGTTCGTTTCTGTACTTAAAAGCCTGCTTTTTTGCTTGTTTTTTTATTTGTTTGTTTTTTAGGTTCCACATGTAAGTAAAAGCATGTGGGCTTTGTCTTTCTCTGTCATATTTCACGTAGCATCATACCCTCTAGGTCCATCCATCTTGTTGCAAATGACAAGATCTCGTTATCTCTGTGGCTGAATAACATTCCACTGTGTGTATAGACACGTCTTCTCTATCCGTTCATCTACCAGTGGACACTCGAGTCGCTTTCCTGTCTTAGCTAGTGTACATAATGCTGCAGTGAACATAGGTGTGCATGTATCTTTTTTGAATTAGTGTTTTCATTTTCTTTGGGCAAATACCCAATAGTAGAATCACTGCGTTGTACGACTACCTGACACTTTGCAAATTGTTTGTTGATTTGTTCTCCAGTTAGAATGTAAGCTCCTGGAGGACAGGGCCTCTGCCATATTTTTGGAATAGTGCCTGTTGTTTTAAATCCTGGGCTCACAGAGATAGGCTCATTTAATTAATGCAGGACAGTCACAAAATGAAAAACCAGCCTGGCCGCTTGTAAATGATTCCTAATGTGACAGGCCGTAAAGGATTTGTAAGCCGTTTTCTTGAATGGCCTGCAGCAGCAGATATACGAACGGGAGGTCACTGGGTGTCAGAGCTCCTCGTTAGAGAGGCATTTTGGGTTTTCAGCTGAATCTCACGTGCTGTCTTCCATTTGCCCCCCGCCCCGCCCCCAGTTGTCTGATATCTCTCCTATCGGACGGGATCCCTCCGTGTCCAGTTTCAGCAGCGCGACCCTCACTCCTTCCTCCACCTGCCCTTCTCTGGTAGATGCCAGAAGCAACTCTCTGGAGCAGAAGTAAGTGCCCTCGTTTACTGGAAATAATAATAATAATAATAAAAGAGGCGGCTGGCTGGCTCAGTTGGGGGAGGGTGCAGCTCTTTTTTTTTTTTTTTTTTTATTTAACACAGAGAGAGAGAGAGAGAGAGAGAGAGATCACAAGAAGGCAGAGAGGCAGGCAGAAAGAGAGGAGGAGAAAGCAGGCTCCCTGCTGAGCAGAGAGCCCGATGTGGGGCTCGATCCCAGGACCCTGAGACTTAACCCACTGAGCCACCCAGGCGCCCCGAGGGTGCAGCTCTTGATCTCGGGGTTTGAGCCCTGCATTGGCGGTAATGATTACAAAAAACACAGACATACATACAAAAAAGAAGAAAAGAAGCCTCAATTACCCAGACTTCATGGAGAGAAGCTAGCCTAAGAACCAAAGATACATGAGCCTTCCTCCAGCTCTGGCTCTCTGCTGAGGGCAGGACCAGCCCCCTCTGTGGCACTCGGAAGTACTTGGGAGCCCTTTACGGCTATCGCAGCCCCAGGGAGATGCTCCTGTTCCTTCTGCCACCATGTGTCGCCGGCTTCCTGCATGAAAACCCTTGGTTCCTCTTCTGCATCCCTCTCCTGCGCGTTTGGCCCACCATTCCCACTCCTGCGTGGTTCCGCAGTCCTGCCACAGAGCAAGTCCCCATCTTGGGGAAAACAGTTTAAAACTAGTTTGGAAATTATATTTTGACGGCACAATGAAACATGTTGGTAAGAATAATAGAGACAGATTTGGTCTAGATCCAGTGAATTCATCTCTGTAATCACTTGTTTGTGATTCACATCACACTCCTGGGCCTGTCTCTGTTCAGCGTGCTCGCCTGTCAGAACCCACCTGGTATCGTCCAGCTGTCTGTCATACTGTACCCACGGGGCCACCGGTGAGTGTGGCTGAGAAAATAGCACAAGCAGGTGGTTTAATTAATTCGGGATGTCATCAACTCTAACATTATTTAATGGGCTGCCACTAAGAAAGAAAAAGTGCGGCAACCCAAATGTGGCCTGTCACCAATTGTAAGACACACCCAACTTGAGAAATGGTCAAGTATTTAAAACCGGGAGTTTTGGAATGGGCGAGATACAATTCACCAGGCTCAGCTGCTCTGGGATAACTCACAGTGCAGAGTGTAGGCGCTCCTGCTCACAGCACGGTCCCGGGCTGCCTTCAGTCGCTGGTCGTTCGGGGAAGCCAGCTTCTTCCCACTTGTTTGCTTTCCCCGCCAGCCCCCTAGGGCAGTGGCGCCCCGATGTCAGAGCACGCCAGCGTCACCTGGGAGGCTTGTAGAGATGGGTAAACGTCCATCGGTTCTAATTCTGTAGGTCTGGGTTGGAGCCCGAGAATTTGAATTTCTAACAAGTTTCCAGGTGAAGGTGTTGCTGCTGGTTAGGGATGACACTTTGAGAACCACTGCCCTAGTTGTGGCCTGGGAACAAAATAGAAACACGTAAGGGGATGGAGTTGATGCCCCTGACACTTCCGTTCAGAGGGCTTCAGAGCAGGAAGAGGGACGGCATGACGCGGTGACTTTTGTGACTTCTGAAGGATGACCCCAGTTAAAGCTGGAATTAACATTCCGATACCACTTGTCTTCTCAGCCGAGCTCTCCGCAGCCGATGTTTTCGAGGCCCCTGCTGGTGAGGGGGGCTTGTTCCTCCCAGTGAGCGGGGTAGACTCGTTGTGCGTGGACCTCACTGACGCTCCTCTTGCCCCTAACCTTTCTCTTTTAAAGGACCCCAGAAGCCAATTCCCGGGCCTCTAGTCCCTGCACAGAATTTGAACAGTTTCAGATTGTCCCAACTGTGGAAACACCCTATTTGGCCCGAGCAGGAAAAAATGAATTTCTCAATCTTGTTCCAGATATTGAGGAAATCAGACCAGGGTGAGTACTGTGCTGACCAGGGATGCCGGGTATAAAAGACAGATCACAGCACTTTTCTCTCCGCTCTTGTACCCGGGGTGTACGTTGCTGTCTAATGCCAGTGCAGTCTGGGCTAGGGAGCGGGGCTGGTTCCTGCCCCGAGGTGTCCCATCAGGCACGTCACCACACCACAGTGCGCTCGGGGGGTGGCACTTTGTGTTCTTTTGCTGTGTTACTTTAGCAGGGAAGATTCTAGGCCAAACAGATCTTTGGCCTGTTTTGTTCATCCTAGGCTCTGGGCCTCGGTGAGACCTATTTTCGTGTTCCTCAGACCATGATCACTTTCTTTTTGTAAACAGCCAGCCACTGTCCTGTTGTCCTTTTTAGCTCCGTGGTCTCTAAGAAAGGGTACCTGCACTTCAAGGAGCCACTTTACAGCAACTGGGCTAAGCATTTTGTCGTGGTCCGTCGGCCTTATGTCTTCATCTACAACAGCGACAAAGACCCCGTGGAGCGTGGTGTCATTAACCTGTCCACGGCTCAGGTGGAGTGCAGCGAGGACCAGCAGGCCATGGTGAAGGTCAGTCCGGCTCTGGCGGCCACGGCACCCCTCCCTTCTGAGTTCTAAACTCTCTGCGGTGTGGTGTGGCCTCTCTCCTGTGTGTCTGGTCTCCCTGACCCTTCAGTGTGAGGTGCTATGTGCCCTGGGAGGCGAGCAGGGTGGTCTCCGCCGTCAGCAGCCGTCGTAACTCTCCCGTCCCCCTACATCTCTTTCAGACACCCAACATCTTTGCCGTGTGCACAAAGCATCGTGGGGTCCTCTTACAGGCTCTCAACGACAAAGACATGAACGACTGGTTGTATGCCTTTAACCCACTCCTCGCTGGCACGATACGGTACGAAGTCGTCCTCGTGTTTCCTCCTTCTTGGCTTTTGGTCAGTGTAAATCAAGAAGGAAGTCTTGTTCCCAAAACGTAGGTTGAAGATAGAGGAAGGACAGCCACGTAAGCGTGGTTGTAATGTGGGGACGAGACCTCCGCTCGTCATAAGCTATCGCCTGCTGTTCTGAATGGCTAAAGGAAGCCGGTCACATGTGCGTCCAGCTAACGTTCTGCTTTGATTTTTTTTATTCAAGATTTTATTTAATTTTCTGAGTCAGGGGAAGGTGGTGAGAACCTTCATGGTCTCCCAGTAGTCCAGCCTGTGATCCAAGCCTCTGATCCTGTCAGGGGCTTGTGTCCCAGGGGCCTTCTGTGTCACAGCTTAGTCTCCTTACTCAGGAGCCTAGAGACCTGGGCCTTGAGTGCTGGAGGGGAAGAAGCCCAAGGAAGAGACTGCTGGGGGGAGGGACATCTGGATGCAGCCTTCTAATCCGTCCTGTTCCTCTGTCCCCTGTAGGTCAAAACTCTCCCGCAGATGCCCCAGCGAACTGAAGGACTAAGTGACTGTGCTGAGCAGCCTCACTCGCCTGTGAGAGATAAAGAAAGTGTTGCCTCTCACTTCTCTCTGTGATTCTTGATGGCCCCTCTCGTGTGTAAGCCTGTGGAATAACCGCTTTCCCTCCTGTCAACACTCTCTAGCTCTCCGCGCCCCCCGTCTCCATTGCTCTGTACCCTTCTCTTTTTTCTTGTGCTGAGAATCTTGGTCGTAGCATGTGGCCTAACAAAAGGGAGAAAAACAAACAAAAAAAACAAAAATAACCCAGAGGGGATCCAGTGAATCTCCAAATTATTTTTTTGTGTCTTTTGGCTTCCTTTTGTATAATAGGTCCCCATTATGACCACCTGTGATGTCTGTACTGCTGTCTTTGGATATCTTTGTCTGGTTTTTAAGACCACATAATACTTCTTTTCCTTTTCTCTATTTGTGATGTCACTTTAATTTTGGGTGGGGGGGGTGGCTTAGAGACTACGGGAGGAAACATCTAGCTTTTTTTAGAACCTAAAAGGAAAAAACTTACCTTTTCCCTTTCCATCTCTTTTTGCCATTGTGAATCCCTGCATTTTCCTTTCAGGGAGAAGGTTGTCATGAGTTTAGAAACGGCACAGGTGTGTTCTCTGAAAGTGCTTATTTAGAATGCAGTTATGCAGTTTTCTTTTAGTGGAAGAGAGAAGGCAGGACTTCTTAGTGGGCCTGGAATGGTGGCTACTGCTGACCTTGTAGGAAGGGAAGAGCCCAGGATATTACCCGTGGATTTGAGAGGACTGTGGGATCTGACGTCATATCATGAAGGGAGGCAGACAGTGAGATGAGGATAGCTCCTCCCAGCAGGCACTCCTGTGAACCGCTTCTCTCTCAGAGGTTCTCATTTTTCTTTTTGGCATTAGCGGTGGCGGTACGGTTTGGAATTAGTGCGGTGTCATACACAAATGTCCCACAAGGGGGAGTGACTTTCTGCTAATGAATTTAATGGTCATTGTGTCATTATAATTCTGGTAATGCTGAGTAGTGACCTTGTGATTGTTGTAGCTCCTTTTGATCAAAGAAATGTAACTTTCAAGTACAGACTTGGAAGTCTCCCTCTGAATCCAGGGGTCGTCTCCAGTGGTCCTTGTCAGATGGAAAATGCTTTCAGTAATGCGTCTCCTCCCATAATCAGAAATAAGCAGACTCGGCAGGCTTTGTCTCCTGGATCAAGAGATTAAAACAAATCCCCTCCCACCACTGAAAAAAAAAAAAAGAAAAAACAAAAGGACACCTGGGGGCAGAGCAGAGGCACACCTGAGCCCTGGCCCCAGTGGCTGGCTGCTGCCCCCACCTTGCCTTCATGGGATGTGGAAATACTGCCAGAGGAAGAAAGAGGGAGCTCGCTGCTGACAGTCTCCTTCTCTGACAGAACAGGGTCATCTGCCTGCAGACGCCATCATGGAAGAAGATGAGATACTCTTCTTTCTTTCAGCTGCCAGGAAGTTTTATAGGAACGGCCTGGGGAGGGAAGGCCTGCAGGTTCATTCAGTTGCTTTGCCGGTTGATGTGGGGTGTTCTGTACCATCCTTACGCCCCTCACACACACCTCTGTTGGCCGTCCCTCAGGCATTCAGCGAAGTATCTGCCCTCTCTCACCTCGTGGAGACTGAGGGTCTCCAGCCTTGAAGTTGCTGCCTTTCCAGTGGTGCGGACCAGCTGATTTTCTGCTTCAGGCAGCTCGGGGCAGGGGCTCGTGCCCGCTGTGGAATAGAGCTGGGCAGGCGCGCGTCAGCGGACCCTTGCTTCTGACCTCCTGGTTGGGCTCATCTCTGAGAACAGGTCTTCTGGCTCCGGTAGAGCTGCCTTGCAGAGAGGAGGAAAAGTGAATCATGGCAAGCTTGAGAGAAAGGATAGAAATCCCAGGCTGTGATCTTAGCTGAAAAGTGATCAATAAAAACTCTAGGTTTTTTTTAACTTCCTTTCTCTCCTTAAAACATAGGTCATTAACTATGATGTTACTTGTTTTCTAAGCAGTGTGTGAGATTTTTAATGTAGTTAAAGGTTCCTTCGTTGTCTAATGGGCCCAGTATGCCCTTCTGTGCCCTTCTGGTGTAGACTCAAATCCAGGACCTGTTGGTGTTTAGAGACCGCTGCTGGACCGGAATGAAATCTAATTTCAGGGAAATGAAGATGAAATTCGAAGGTCACATTTTAAAATAAAGTCACGGGTGCCGCTGCTGTTTGTCATGAAGTCTGACAGAGGGACCCATGTCCACGGCAGAGGGAGGTGGGGAGGGCTGAGGGGGGAGTCAAATCATGTGATACACTGAAGTGACGTTTGGTTTTTCTTCTAACTCAAAACTGGCTTGGAAAGTCTTTGCTTTGGAGGTATCAGAGATTAGAGCTGGTGGCACTGGACTGTTCGTGTAACACCCCTGGGTGAGAGGGCCCCTGAGGAAGCAGGATGTCCACGTCCGGCAGGGGTCTCTGGCGCCGGTGCTTTCCACCATCTGAGGACGGTCCTTATTGGTTCCCCTTTTCCTTCAGCGGCCCATGTCCAGATTGCAGTTGGAACGGTTTCAGGATTAATGTTCCATTTCTAGGCAGATCCATCCCCACTTCAAAGCTGAGAGACCATTTATAGCAGAAACTACTTATGAGGCTTTAACTGAAGCCATGGTGGCAGGAAAGTTGCTATTTAATATTAACATATTAATATTAGTAGTCAAGGAAACTACCTTTTGAGGGTTTTTTTTAATGTTTTTTTTCCCCCAAAAGCACTCCTTTAAACAAGCAAAAAACAAAAAGAAAAAGCTCCTACACAAAGGAAGGAGAAATGAGTGCTAGTGAAAAGTAATCATGTCCTCCCCTCCTTCCCCACCCTCCTACCTCCTGCCAAAGCAAAACATGACCTCACAGCCCACAGAGGGCCAGCGCCCACAGCCTCCTCACCTCTGCGCCGGCCTGGGAGTCAGCCAGCTCTCAGGCCGGGCTGTGCAGGGCCAGCCAGCCGCGCACACAGCCAGGGGTGCGGGGAAGGGCTGTTGCCGGCGGCGGGGTGGGCACCCAAATCCTAGCACATCGTTAGACGCTCAAGCCATCACTGTGAGGGGAAGGAAAGTGATTTCTCCCAGCTAAGAAACCACGGTTGCTTTACATTTTTCTCCCCCTTCAGCTGCATTGAACTTCCACAACTACTCCATATTTTCAGTGGGGCTTTTCAGCTCTTTTAAGTTGAAGGAATAAGTTAAATCATTGTGAAAGATCTTTAGGGGTCTAAAAATGACTTCTCCTGGCGCATATTTCAAAGCAAAGACTTCGTTGCCTGCTGCTTGTTGTGATTTACAGGGATATTTAATTTTTTAAGGTATTTGTATATTTATACAGCTGTAATGAATTGCACATTGGCTTGGGGAAGAACGGATGACCCAGTGCGGGGCAGCTCTGGTACGCTCCCATTTCCTCGCACTGTGTCCACGCGGGTCCTCCAGGACGGGTCAGGGCTGGTCGGTCTGTTAGACTTGGGTCCTTCATCTTTGCTTTGGGTTCCCTTTCTGAAATGTGATTGTTAACCTACTCCTTACAAAGAAGACACTAATTCTGCTGCTGCTCTCAGAAGGTTTGCCGAATGTACTTGCCAGAGGCCTCGGACTTGTGTGCACGGGGGCTGTCCCCCGTGGCCGGCACCCACCCAGCGTGCGGCCAGACCGTGACTGTGTGCCGGGGATGGACCGGGTGTGCGTCCTTAGGAAACGGAAATGTCAGCTGAGAGATGATCTGCGGTTGTTCAAAAGGCCATTTATGAAATTCGGATTTGAGCCCCATGAAATCTTAGGAAAGCCTCTGATCATTTAAAGGAAAGAATGAGAGTTGATGCAAATGTCCTGTTAAAAGCTGTGCCCAGGAAGTCCAAGCTGAGGTTGGTCTCTTGCCAGGCCCCAGCTGCTGCATGTCGTCTTCATGTCTTCAAGTTCCCTTTCTCCAGGCTGCGCACGCGGGCATCGGCTTGTCCGAGGACTCCGTCAGCCCTCTCGCGTGCAAGGCGCCGCCCGTCGGGATTTCGGGTCTCTCCTCACCATCCGCGTGCGCTGCCACGGAACCCGTGGAGCGCACGTGGCCTTTCTGAACCAAGACTTTGCAAACTGATCTCTCCCCAGTAAGGAGTTGAGCACATTAGCAACAATGTACATTATTAATTTCAGATTTTCATTTTCATGTTTTATTATGTAAATATTATCTGATGTTTGGAGCTTGAGTATACAGAATGTAAATATAGTTCTTGTATTTGTACTAATTTTGGTTCTTTTGCTGTATAGCCTTAGATGTGCAATGCGGACATTATCTAACTGTGTATGGTAACCTTGCATCACGGAACTCTTAGGGAACGAGGTAGACATAATAAAGGTACAACCAGTGCATCAGAAGGCTCTGGACGTGCGTTTGTTGTCCTCCTTTGAAAGGGACCTACACAACCTTTTTTTTTTTTTTTTTTAAGATTTTATTTATTTATTTGACAGACAGAGATCACAAGTAGGCAGAGAGGCAGGCAGAGAGAGGGGGAAGCCGGCTCCCTGCTGAGCAAAGAGCCCGATGCGGGGCTCGATCCCAGGACCCTGGGATCACGACCTGAGCTGAAGGCAGAGGCTTAGCCCACTGAGCCACCCGGGCGCCCCTACACAAGCTTTCTTGACTTGCAAAGATGTTACTGTGGTGTGACCTACGTGTTCTTTTCTGATCATTCAGAGTAGGGTTATTTTAAACCCAGATGCTGTTTCTTTGAAAATGCTTTCCTCCCAAGTGCTGCCCGGGCTCTGCCGAAGCCTGTCCTACTACCTACCAGGGGTTCCCCCGCGGGTGATGTGGTCTTTCTGGTGGAGAGGGGACTCACGCGCCATGCCTGCTGAGTGTCACAAGTTCCCGTTGTGAGCAGAGCACGAGCAGGGACCAGTGTCCTAGTGGTCTGGGGGGCGGGGGGGAGGCAGGACAGAAGACGGGAGGGAGAAGCGGCATTCAAACAAGGCAGCCATGGGGTCGGTGCCCGTCTGAGCGGCCACCCCATGCCCGCGCCCAGGGTGCGATAACTCAGCAGCAAACAGAACGTGCCCCAGCATTCTTGTCCCTTTGAGGAAAGACCTTTGTGTCATGAATGTGGAATGTGTAACGTCGAGTGGTCAGTGACGGAGCAAATGGCCGCTGAGTGGAAGGTGAGAAGGGATGGGAGGGAGGCATCCTTCTAGAGCTTGTCGTCAGGAAGTCCTGTGTTGGCGGAGGACTTTTGAGCAGACACTTGAACGAGGGAGCGGGTATGCATGCCAACCCTGGGCAAGAGGTCTCCAGGCAGAGAAGCCAAGCCCTTGGGGCAGCAGTGTCCTCTGTAGGGCCCAAAGGTAGCAAGGAGGCCCGTCTGGGGAAGGGGCAGAGCACTAGAGCTGTGGCGGCCCCAAGTAGCCAAAGACCAGGTGTTTAAGGCTTAGGTAGCTCCAATTCCGTTAGCGTGAAGTAGAAGTCAGTGAAGGGTTTGGGGGCGATGAGTCACATGGTCCTATTTGTTTCCAGAAGCCCGTTCTGACCACTGAGTGAAAAACAGCCTGTGGGGGTGTGGGTGGGGGCTCGTGGAGGAAGGGAGACAAAATAGGAAATTGTTGCCCAGTGTCCCCAGGGGAGGGTGGCAGCTGGGACACAGGTAGGAGCAGTGAAGGCGGGAGGTGGGGTCCGACCAGCATATTCTGACGTCAGAGCCCGCAGATTCGCTGAGCCACGGCGCGGAGCCGGGGAGAAGGGCAACCAGCGACGTGTGCCTGGGCGCGTGGAGCGCGGTGCAGTCGCCTTAAGATGAAGATGGGGAGAATGTGGGGACGGGGGCGTTTCTCAGTGAAGGATTTGGTCTGGTCACGCTCACTTGGGAACCCCAACATTTGCACCTGACTCTGCAGCCACCGAGGCAGCGGGACTCAAGGGGGGAGGTGGGGCGTTTGGGAGCTGTCAGCGTGAGGGTGACAGAGCCAGGCAGAGGCGAGGAGGCCCGGGCATGAGTAGCCGCTGAGAACCGAGGCTCGAGTCCTGAACACCGCCACCGGGACAAGTCGGGGGGGGGACAGACGCGGAGGAGGGGCGGCGGAGAGAGGGACACTGGCAGCCGGGCTGAGGACGCGGTGAGGACGGGGCCAGTGAGACCTGTCTCCAGGGCAGCTGCGACAGGTTAAGGTCGAACCGAGCAGCAACCGGGTTTTGGCAACAGGGAGGTCCAGGGCGTGTGAGGGAGCCAGAGCCGACCAAGAGATAAGGAGGCTCGCAGCAGATCAGAATAATCTCCTTGATTACCATGAAAGGTTCTGTTAGCGTGAGGGTTCGAACGCTGGTGCCCCGACCCCCGGGCCGCTCCCTGAGCAGGGATTCTGGCTTGCAGGCTGCGCTGTGGCCCAAGTCCCGCGTGTCTTACCAGCTTCCAAGGGGGACGCCAGTGCTGCTGTCGTGGGCCGCCTCCGTGGTGCAGACGTAGAGAGGAACAGCAGACCGTGTTCTCGGGGGGCAGGCGGCTCTTCCTGGAGGGGTGGAAGTGGCCGGGCTGTCCGTGCTTTCCAAACTCGCACTGGCCGCTTCTCTCCCGGGGTTCCGGGAAGGGCTGGCAGGAGCAGGAAGTTTCCGGTAATGGAGCCCGCTTCACGTGGGAGGAGACGTCAGGAGTGTGTGTGCCCTAGCAAGGTCATTGGTGAGTAGAGCAGCACTGTCCTGAGTGGTGCCAAAGAAAGCCCACCTGGGGCAGGTTCAAGGGAAAAGGGGAGGAGAGGAGCTTGCAATGGTACGGATAATTCTTCCGGAGATTTGTACCGTAGAGGGGAGCAAGGACAAGGACACGGAGTTTTAAAGGAGAGAGCTTTCCGTACAGACGTGTGTGTGTGGGTGTGGGTGTGTGTGCGCGCGCGCGTGCGCAGACTGGGTGAGTGAGCAGGAAGGGTGACCTGGCACAGGGAAGAGAGCGGGGCGGAGAGCTTTGCTAGAGCCACACCCCGGAGGCTGGGGCAGTGGCGCGCTGGGTCTCAGCCCCCCTGGGGCTCCGGGAGACCAGGCATGGCGGGAGCACGTGCAGGGCCACTAGTGGTTGCCACAGTTTCTCTCCGTGGGCCTCCTCAGCCTTGGAAGGTGGGAGGGCTCCGGGGGTTATGCCTTCCTGAACCCCAGCGGACTGTGCCCTGGCTCCGACTTGCTCTCACAGAGTGGGGTGTCTCCTGCAACCCGGCCTCATCCTGGCTCACGGACACTTGGTCCCTCACCAGGGTTGCTCTCTTGAGAGTCACCATGTCTCTCACAAAGCTGACACATGGGACGTCAGGAGGTCCCCTGGAACAGTGCACATTGAATGCATTACTTTTCTACCTGGTACTTCTTGTCATTCCACTTGCGGTCGGGTTCCCTTAGGAACTCTTGGTCTCTGCACAGCCTCTTTTAACCTAGCTTTTTGAGTACTTTACCTGCTCGCTCCTCTGGCTTTTGAAAATATGGTCTCCTGGCTTTTTTCCACAATTGCTCCTTCTAAGTAGCAAGTGAACGAGTCCTTTGAGTTCAGATGCAGGAGTTAGAGCAAGTGAGTGGCAGAGCTGGGATTTTCAGATCTGCCCCAACTGGTATGTTTGTTAACTCAGACATCTTCTTACGTAAATCTAACAAAGGATTCTGCTCTGGGAGAGTTGCATACAAGGGCTGTTTGTGTAGAATTCATAGCCGTGCTTTGATCTGGGATTTGG